AATGCATTAAACATCTCAACATCAGACCTGAATCCATAAAGTGACAATGACCTTTTTCGTGGGCTAGCAGGTGCATCTCTAGTTCACACACCTGCAACTGGAGACCTGTTCTAGAGGCTATCAGGTAGCCGTAGAATAAACCAGTGGAACTACAATCTTACCAGCATCCATATTTTTCACTTTCCACCACTTTACTGATAGGCCTTGGCTTTGAGCTGTGGCTGATGTGGTTTTGGTTAAAAGAAGCCAGCAATGGGTATCAGACCTTTCATGGTCTCTGCTGCCAAGTATACCTCTGAGCTCAGCTTCTACTGACTTCCTGCAACTGTGACTGGAGATTCCTATTTTTCCCCCCAAGAGTTTTGCCATTCTCAGGGTCAGAGAGATGCTCAACAGACTCCATGCAGAAGGTCCAGGTTTGATCCCCAGAACCACAAGTTTCCCTTAGTACGGAACTGGGAGCCCCTGACCACCGCTGGGAAATGTCCCTCAAGACCCTGACAAAAGCTTCAGTGTTCTCGTCCAACAATTAGCACTTTGAATTGTTGGTATTTTTTTTTTATTTTGTGCATTTTGTCCACATCTGGTTGTGCTCAAGTGACACTGCAGTTTCTGGAAGTGCCTAGAAACCCCAAACCTCCTGGCATCAGAGTACTTACCGGTCAGTAGAACATCTCTGTGGTCCTCTGAGGTGATTCAGAGAAAGTGACACACTGCTACCTGGTATTTATTGAGTAGCTCTCAACAAATGGATGCTATTGGTATCTCATTCTACTCGTGGGACTGCTGGGAAAAGCCAATCAGATTTATATTATGGGATTTCATTCTTCGTTTAGCAGTTGATTTTTTCACAGCCTCATAGAACACTGGAGCTCAAAGTAATTATCTCACATTTATTTCAGCAGGGTTCGGGGTGTGTGACAGTCACCATTCCTCAAGGGTCACTCCTGGCTCTGCACTCAGGAATCACTCCTGGCAGGCTTGGGAGACCATATGGGATGCCAGGAATCAAACCCAGGTTGGCTGCATAAAAGGCAAGCCCCTACCTGCTGTACAATCACTCTGGCCCCTTCTCTGACACATTTATTCATTAATTCCTTTTGTGCCTGTCTATAAGAGTACCAGGTGTCTTAGGACTGAGCACTGGGTGTGCCAAGGGGGATAAAGGAATGAATCTTCCAAACCTCAGCTGTTGGCTCAGCTGTTAAACAGTGATGGAGTGCTAACATTATAGTTTCAGTATTGTGATGGCAGAAAGGACAAATTGATCTCTTCAGGGTGGAAGATATGGGATGGCATCCACGGGACCAAGTCACAGTTGAGAGTAAAACAGTGATAAGAATCATGAATTCGCCATACATCAGGCAATACGATGACTAACCATTTCTAGGCAGTGTTTGTTGCACTGGTAAATAAATAAGATTGCTTAAACCCTGCGCTGGCTGAACCTAGTCTGCAGAAGCTTATTTTCATCCCCCATGATAGCATCATCTGATCCTCCCTATTGAACGTCTGATGTGAGAGGACCCAGTTCATAGGCTGATTAGCTACTATGAGATGGCTGGGCCATAAGCTACAGACTTCCCCAACCATCAGATGTTTTCCGATTCACTGAGCAAGGAAGTGACTGAGAGGATTAGGATTTCATGCAGCTCTTTACCTCTTAGCTTTAGGGCTATACATCCCAGCGCTCAGGGGATCCTGTGGTGCTGGAGAGGGAAGCCAGGCATTCTACATAAAGCCATCCCTTAGTCCTCTGAGCCATTGTTCTGGGCCTTCTATGCTATTTATTATTATTTTATATATATACATACACACACATATATATACTTTTTTTTGTCAGATCCCAGTGTTCAGTATTCTTGCTCTCAGGGATCATTCCCGGCAGAGCTTGAGAGACTATACCACTGTGTCAGGGAATCAAACTTGGTCAGTTCTGTACAAGGCAAATACCTTATCCCCTATATTTTCTGCCTGGGGCCTCTATCTTCTTGTGTTTTGGGGTTTGGTTTGTCCTTGGGCCACAACCGGCAATTCTCTGGGGTTACTCCTTGCTCTGCACTCAGGAATCATTCCTTGCTGGCTCAGGGAACCATATGGGATGCTGGGATTGAACCTGGGTCTGCTGTGTGCAATGAAAGCACGCTGTACAATCTCTCTAGCCCCCAAACATCTTTTGCCGGGGGTTGTGGGGGGGGGGGGATGAGGCACTAAATTCTATATAGAACTTGGTGCTAAACAGCTCCCACTTCTGAACCTGTTTTTCATGGCATGCAGAACTAGAGGAAAACTCTATTTCCCTGTACTAATGCTTAGTTCCAGGTCTTAGTCACCAAACCCTTTGTGTCCTTGTACACAGCATGCAGTCTGCTCCTGCTTCATTTCTTGTAGATGGAGGGTTCCTACACGAACCCGCCCAGAGTGCAGGGGCACTATGTACTCATAATTCCGTTTGCTGGAATCAGCCATGGCAGAGACACATGAAAAGATCCTTCAGAAACTCCAGAAACTCAGTGTGTTCTGAAGTCAAATGCCTGTTCACCATTCCCTTACCTGGTATGTGAAAGGAGCAGCAAGAGTTGCCACACAGCCTCTCTCCCACCCAGATACATATCTGTTGCAAATAATAGCATGGAGGTTGCCAATGGACCTAAACCTACCTGTCACTTTTCCCTGCTTCCCTTTGTTGCTTTGCCTACCCTAAGGACTACCATTTCCTCTGCAACTCTCACTGCATCTGAAGAAAAGTAAACCTCAGAGCAAGATGTGATACATTAAGCCCGCAAGAACCCAAGTGAGTCCCGAAGCAGAGCAAGATGACCTGAAGAGTTACTTAGGGTTCAAGGTTTGGTCAAATGTCTGAAAGGGAGAGGGAGCCAGCCCAGGAGAGTGCACAGTGGGGCAGGTTCAGAAGAGGTCAGGCGCAACCAGACTGGGGCTTTCACGGAATGTGGTCAGGAAGGGCACCGGGGGCAGGATCAAGGCAAGAGCTCTGGAGGGGCACGACAGGTGCAGTGCTGTGCCACAGGCAGTGGAAAGTCCACTGAAGACTCCCCCATATCAGGCTACAGGCCCCCACTGCCACTAATGGGGGATTTGCGGCGACCATATGTGAGCAGGAGCACTGTAGCCTATGAGCACCATATGGATGTGAGCCCCACAATCCACGTGTGGTCCTGATGACAACCATAATCAAGTGTGTGTGAACCCTGCCTTTCACAACAGAGAAAGGAAACAGAATGCTCCCTAAAGTACTGTGAGAGAAAAGCTGGAGGATGTTGAATGGAGAATGCTAGCTGCTCTGGGGGTGAGGGACACAGGAGCCAAGAGCAGCCCCCGAAGGAGGCTCTGCATGGACAAGCTCCACCCTGGGCCTCACTGAGCCCTCTAAGGCTCACACACAAGCACCTGAATACAAGCCACTGCAGCAGAGCTCCTGTGTGCCACAAGGTCCGCTGCAGTCGAAGTGCAACCAGATACAGAGAAACCAAGATCCTTCTGTTTCTCTCAGTGTGGGAACTAAGGCAGGGCTTAGCCCCGCGTGGTATTGGAATTCCTTCTCAGCAAACTCCTGGGAGCTATTTAACCTCAGCTTTAACATGCCAACAGGGCAAGTGGGCACCTCCTAATATAGAACATATCAAATTTTTCTCTTATTGGGGTGAGGGGATAGGGGCAACAAACCTGAAAGTGCTCAGGGCTTCCTCCTGGCTCTGCATTCAGCGGTCACTCCTGGCAGGACTCGGTGACCAAATGGAGTACTAGGAATGGAACCAGGGTCAGCTGTGTGCAAGATCAGTGCCCTACCTTCTGGCAAAATAATCTCCCTTTCTTCAATCTACAGAAACATAAGCTTTGTCAAAGGTGCAGTTTGGGATGCAACTTTGACATGTTTACAATGGCATCAACACTTAAGGCTTTGATGCATTTACCAGACATCTGAAACTATACTGCTGTACATCACAGCCATACTTCTTTTCCTGGTGGGGGTGTGCGGGGTTGAGTTTTGTCTGTTAGGAGCCCTGAGGCCCTTTTTTGGTTCTTTTTTTTTCCTTCTTTCTTTTTTTTTTTTTTTTGCTTTTGGGGTCACACCCAGCGATGCTCAGGCGTTACTCCTGGCTCATGCACTCAGGAATTGCTCATGGCAGTGCTCAGGGGACCATATAGGGTGCTGGGAATCGAACCTGTGTCGGCCATGTTGGCTGCGTGCAAGGCAAACGCCCTACCCATTGTGCTATCGCTCGAGCCCCTTTCCTTCTTTCTTTTTGGGTCACACCTGGTGATACACAGTGCTTCAGTGCTTACTCCTGGCTCATGCACTCTTGGCTCATGCACTCCGGAATTACTCCTGGTGGTGCCTGGGGGGACCATAGGGGATGCTGGGAACCAAACCCAGGTCAGTCGCACGCAAGGCAAATGCCCTACCCACTGTACTATCGCTCCAGTCCCCTGGGGCCCTCTTAGCAATTCTGCCTCAAAGGGGCAGCAGTGCTCCCTGGAACTGAGGCCTGCTGCATGTATAGCCTGTGGCCTAACCCCAAGCTCTCTGGTCCTGGGCTGGGAAGACTGGTCCTCTTGTGCATCAAGCCCTGGGTTCATAATCAGTTCTTCCAACTCTGTACTCTTTCGTGCAAGGAGTGAGACTTCCATGGCTTATGACTGGCTCCCACTTTCCTCAAGCCCTGTTTCTTCTCTAAAATACGGTTCTGCTGCTATTTGAGGTATCACCATGATGACAGGCTGTGCAAGCATTCCCCTCAGGGAGGAGAAGAACTCACTCTCTGGCCTAGCCATTCCCTGGTTAAAGTAAGAATGCCAGCAAGATGCTGAACACTGTAGGACAGTCAGAAGCTGCCAGGGAAAAGGTTTTCTATCACAGCAGTTCTAGGCCTGGCCCTAGTGAAGAAATCTTTGACAAGACACCAGTCCAGTAATCCTGGGAGGGAAAGTGGGACCCTTGCCATTTAGTCTTCTTGAAATGCCAGGATTTGAACAGCCTGGTGTGTTATCCACTTTATTGAGGGAAGGTTGGGGATAAAAGAGTGGACCCAAAGGTTTTGATTTTTTAGAAACATAGTAACACATTCTGTGCTTGATGCCATACATCATGGAACAGAGCTCAGCGCCTGGCGGGTTTAGGCATTATATAAACCTTCACTGGCTTGCTGAAGGGGATGGTGCCCTCGATGCTGGCTTCCACCTGTGGGGTCACATCACCTCCCTCCGCCCAAGGGGCCTTAGGGGTGCGTGGATCCGAGCTGTAGGCCAGCAGCAGCCTCACCTCCACCTGGCATGGCTCTGGAAAAGAAGAAAACAGTAAAAACATCAAAGACCAAGCCAGCACCCACTGCTGGATGAAATGTTCATACAGAGCAGTAGCAGCGATGGAAGCAGCAAGATTTCCAGAATATTCTCTATCTGCGCTCACATCCTTCCCTTCCTAGTCCAAGACTGATCCTGAGTCTGCTGTGCAGTTTCTCCACCTGCACTCCTACCATGTCTAATAAAGCTCACACCCCTCTTCCAGAGCCTTCCAGCCCAAGAGCCTTCCCCTGCTCAAGCCTAGGACCCTGTGGTGGCCCGAGGAAGCACTGATCTGCGTGACAGTGCCAGGGCCTTGAGTCTGTGGTTACCCTCCCACTGCTTTGCACCAGGGCACCCAGCACATGCAGGTAACAGGCCTCCCCCACCCTCGGGACACAGAACTGCTGGGGGGGGGGCTTATGCAGCATCCACATCCGAAGGGGCAAAGGGAGGGGAGAACAGGGACTCAAGAGAGGTAGTCAGGCAGTCGTGGCCCGGTGATGAGCGACAAGCGCCTCATACTGAGAACAGAAAGAGCAGAATCCAACCATGAAGTGGATCAATGGAACAAGGGATGGAAAGGGCACGTGCAAAGCCTGTGTTCACTTTTCACCACTTGTGGGGTTCCTCCAACATGGTGTCTCCTTCAGGGACACTGACGGGATAATAATACGGTGGGGGTGGGAGAGGAGGTTAATGCACGGATCAGCTTGTGCTAGGACAGGAGCCAGGTAACAGTGAGGAGATACCCCACACACTGTGCAAAGGCAGTAGGGACACGGGACACTGTCCAGAATAGGGACACCTGCATGATGCCAACCTGCTGTGAGGCTAGAGACCACTCACGACCTTCCAGGCTGGTTCTGCCTTCTTGACACTACGCCTCCCATGCAGGCCTCACCATTCCTTCCCCAGCCTGGCAGACTGGAACAGAGCCCCCAAATGCACCTGACCTCTCAACCATTTTCCAAGTCACTGAGCACTGTTCCTGTTCTGAGAGAACAAAGGGAAGCCCAGCTCCAGCCCCTCAGCTGTCTGTGCTCTTGCAATGTCCAGCACCACCCACTTGGGGACCCACCAAACTAGAAGGACAGGGAGGCTGCACAAGAGCTGGATGGGCTCAATTCCTGACAACATATGGACCCCTGAGCACCAGCAGAGGGACCAGGTAGCCCCTGACATTGCAAGCAGCAACCAGCAGTGAAGCACCAGCCCTGTGGCTGAATGCTGCCAAGAGTAGCCCCCAAATTCCCTGAGCATGGCTTGAGAGACATCCCACAAAAACACTGCATGTGACTAAAGGAGAATAAATGCTGTATGATCACGAGTCATCTGAAGGACAAGTAACACAAAACAGATCGACACATCAGGGCACCAAGGTCTAGCAGACAGGGTGAGGCTGGGAGTGCAAATGACAGTGTGACAGTAAAGAGATGCCATAGGACAAGGCTGGGAGCCTCATCCTCGTCTTGTTGGGCTTTAGGGCTCGCTCTTTGCTCTGCCCAGGGGCTGAGGTTCAGGGAAATCAGCAGGCTTGGGGTGAATTATCTGAGCCTGGCCATCAGGATATAAGACCTGGGAGGTGACAGCAGAGACAAGAGGTTGTGTCACTGTTAAAGGCGAGCATCTTCCCCACTGCTCGCTCTCTCTCCACTTCTTCAATCCTCTTTTTATTTTTTTCTTTGGGAGGTGGGAGGGGTTGGGTCACTCCTGGCATTGCTCCAGGCACCATATGAGATACCAAGGATGAAACCAGGATGGCCATCTGCAAGGCAAGTGCCTATCCATTGTATTATTTCTCCAGCTCTTCATATTGATTTTGAAGGTTTGGAAACAGATTAAGAAGTTGGTGGTGGGCTGGAGAGATAGCACAGCGGGTAGGGCGTTTGACTTGCACGCGGCCAACCCGGGTTTGATTCCCAGCGTCCCATATGGTCCCCTGAGCACTGCCAGGAGTAACTCCTGAGTGCAGAGCCAGGAGTAACCCTGTGCATCGCCAGGTGTGACCCAAAAAACAAAAAACAAACAAAAAAAAAAAGAAGTTGGTGGTCTGTTCAAGATGATACAGCCTGTCAGAAGTAGAATCAGGACAAATCCTAGAGCCTTTCCGTAGGTCTCAATTCCATCAAAGATCCTATGAATTTCGACCCATCCAAGGAGGTAGAGGAAACCTGGCAATCAGGGGGTGTTGGCTAATATTTTTCTGGAAAAAGGGGCAATAAGCCAAATAAGTTCATGAAGTTCTGAGTCCCCAATATGCACTTTTAAGTTTCTTAAGAAATCAGTTAAATTCTCACCAAGTCTGGTTTAACCACATACTATTCAAACTGTAAAAGAAAACCCCATATACTTAAGGGCACATGGGATGTCAAGGGATGGCTCCTACCTGTCCAGGCGGTGTGGGAGAGATACACCTGAGTGAGAAGCCGGTGTCGCCCCGGACCAGGATTCCGGAAATCAGCAGGCTTGGGGTGAATTATCTGAGCCTGGCCATCAGGATATAAGACCTGAGAGGTGAGAACAGAGACAAGAGGTTGTGACATTATCACAGGACCTTTCGTGAAAAGTCGTAACAAGAGGAAAGGAAGGAGGCAGCTTCACAGGGATGCAATGCTGCCCATCCTAACCAACACAGCACCTGCTGAGTGCTTTCTGGATTCCAGGGCCAGCCCAATACAGAAACAGAATGTTAAGTGCATGCAACAAATTACTGACAAAGGAACCAAGGACTCTTCCTTAACCAATGGTACTGAAAAAACTGAACAGTCAAATGCAGCTGAATGAAACTGAACCACTATTCCACATCACATACAATATACTCAAACTTTGAGCTAGAGACATGGAGAGTATCAGGCTACGTGAAATGAGTCAGAAAGAGAGGGACAGACATAGAAGGACTGCACTCATTTGTGGAATATAGGATAACACAACATGAGACTGACACCCAAGTAGATAGAAGGGTCAGGAAGATTGCTCCATTGGAAGCCTGCCTCATGAGCGGTCGGAGAGAGGACAGCTGGAATAGAGAAGGGATCACTGAGAAAATGATGGCTTGAAGAACCAGTTGGGATGGGAAATGTGTGCTGAAAGTAGATAATGAACCAAACATGATAACTTCTCAGTATCTACACTGCAAACCATAATGCCCCAAAGTAGTGAGAGAGTACGGGGAATATTATTTGCCATGGAGGCAGGGCGAGGGTGGAAAAGGTGGGGATACTGGTGGTGGAGAATGTGTTCTGGTGGAGGGATGGGTGTTTGATCATTATGTGATTGTGACTCAAACATGAAAGCTTGAAACTATATCTCACAGTGAATCAATAAAATAAAAAAAAAAACTTTGAGCTAGAAAACTAGCCATAAAAAACCAACACTTTCCTCCCCTGCCCCAACAAGACCCCGAATCGCCACCCACAAATAAGCCCTCTGGCTACTCAACAAGCGGCTTAAACCATGATCCCAGAGACTCAAAAACAAATCTTGTAACCCAGCAGCTTTTGGCAGAAATCCCTCCAGATTTAATTATTAAGATTTCAGAATTCCAAATAATGACATGAATAGAGACATCATATGCTATTCATAATCAGCAATAGAAAACAAATTGTCTAATATTCCCATTTTGGCAGATGTGAGTGTTGGGGGAAAATCCCAAATAATAATGGTGGGTCCGATGTTGAAATATTGAATGTAATCAAAGTAGAGAGAGAGTAAGGTAGAAATCATCTGACATACAGGTAGGAGGAGGGTGTGGGATGGGGGGTATACTGAGGTTTATGGTGGTGGAAAATGTGCACTGGTGAAGGGACTGGTGTTTCATCATGTATGACCAAGACTTAAACCCAAAATCTTTGTAACTGCTCTCACGGTGATTCAATAAATAAATTTATTTAAATAAATAAATAAAAAGCACCAACAAAAAAACTCAAGTGCTAAACACCTTGACACTGATTTTGGCAATATGCCTGTATCTTACATCAAAAGGAAAAATAAGTAACTAGAATTTAATTAAAATACAAGTTTTTGCACAACAAAAAAATTGGTAAATAAAAAGGCAGCCTGCAGAATAAAAAAAATTAGAACTATCTCTGATAAGGAATTAATATGTAAACTATATAAAGAACACATCTCAATTGCAAAAAAAAAAAAAAGCCAAACAATACTCCTTTAAAAATGAAGACACCCCAAAATACAGTTTTCCAAACATGACAACCAGTGGTCAAGAGGTGTATGATGAGATGTTCAATATCATAGATCACCAAGGAACTACCACTGCAACACAATAACTTACAACATTGAAGAAAGCTGATTTCCAGGGCCAGAGTGACAGGACAGTGGGCAGCACACAGTTAACCCAGGTTCAGTATCCAGTGCCCTATGTGGTCCCCTGCATCCTCAGCACAGAGCCAGGAGTAAGCCCTGAACACAACAGTGTGTGGCCCCAAAACAATCCCCCCAAAAGCTGATTGTAAAACACAGAAGTGACCATGTGGAGGGCGGAAGCCTGAGAGTGCCAGGGAGAAAGTGAGCTGCTGTAGTCACAGCAGAGAGTAGCCTGGTATCTCAGAAAGGCTAACACCAAAACTGCTCCAGACCCAGCAAGAGCAGAGCCCAGGATTTTAGGATCCCATTCACTGCAGCCCTCACAGCAGCCAGTGGGCCCTTTAATGGATGCATCTAATGGGGCTCATCAATCCTATCCTTCTTGTGATAGGATCCCCAATCAGAAGAAAGCAGAGGATCCGACTGTGATACCAAGGATGGCCTGGAAAGCATTAAGCTCAGTGAAGTAGAACAAATGCTGTGTGATCTAACTTATCTGTACAATCTGAAACACAAGTAACACAAAACAGATTGGCAACTGCTAGAGGTGAAATGTGGAAGAAATGGGTTAACAGGTCTAAAAAAATTTTTTTAACAGTTAATGATAAGTATGCTAAAGTATTTGGGCGAAAATGTGCTGATGTTCCCAATTTACAAAAGAAAAATAATCACTTGGAAAAAACATCATAAAACATGTCAGGTTCACAATAATGGAATCTGGGGCTGCAGCAATAAGATGGTGGATAAGGCACTTGCCTTGCTCGTACCTGAGTGGGCTTTGATCTCCAGCACTCCATATAATAGTCTGATCACAACCAGATGTGATCCCTGAGCCTGATAGAATGAAGAGTAAGCCCTGAGGACAGCCAGTGAAGCCCCCAAACACAAGTAAATAAATGGTGGGATTTAGGTGGTGAGTTCTCAATATTCTTCCAACTCTTGAGACTGGCAGGTAAGGGTTGAAAGGAACCTGTGTGCAGAGTGGGAAGGAGCTGGGAGAGCTGGAGGTATGCTGAGCACTAAGACAGCTGGAGCTCCCTGTTTCCAGCAGCCCACCACAGGTGGACAGGCAGGAAAAGCAGGACGAGGACCAAAGAGAATAAATAATTCAGAAGAAATGAATTTGCTCTGGTCAGACTCAGCAGCAGAACTGGCTTTGAACCATGACTCTCCCATGAAGACTCATCCCTTTTTTCGGTCCCCTGGTCTCTGACACTGAAGAGAGATAGCAGACACACAGGTCCAACCCACAAAGATACAAAGGCAATCTCAACACACCTGGACCTTCACTGTGTTCTGAGGGTCCTGTACGTGTTCCAGGGTTGCATCGACATCTAGGGCCACCACCAACCCAGAGGTGAACCGCAGAGGGTTGTCGGACTCACCTGCGGGCTCAATGATGGTGGCTGAGGCCTTGTGGATCTGGAAGCAAGGAAGGAAGATAGACTTCTAAAACCAACTGGTTCATTCTCCCCCCCCCCCCCCCCCTCTCTCTCTCTCTCCCTCCCTCCCCCCAATTCTCTCCTCTCTGTCTCTCTCTCCACACACAGAGACACACAGACACACAGACACATACACACACACAAACACACAGGTTGAGGGCCAAGTCCAAGCCCACCTGCTCTGGGAGTGGGAGGTGCAGGAAGCTGCTCTGGCGCAGCAGGGCCTGCAGGATCCGGACCACTTCTGCAGGCTTGGATGTCACAAGTCGAGGCATAAGGTCCAGAAGCTTGTCCACAAAGCTGTCCTGCAGCTGTGGCAGGTCAGCAACAAAGCACCTGGAAACAAGCACAGATGGACCGCGGGGTCTGGAGGCTGTCTCCTCAGTGCTGTCTGCAGACTTGCCAAGAGTCTGTTCCCGCTATCCCTGAGTCCTGAGTACGCTTTGGAGCTTACTATCTGGACCACTGGGACATTTTGATTTTTTGGTTGTTTTTTTTGGCCCATACCCGAGGTGCTCTGGGTTTGCTCCTAGCTCTGTGCTCAGAGGTCAGTCCTGACAGGGATCAGGAGGCGACAGGGACTGAATATGCACTGGCCACATCCAAGGCCAGCATCTTCTCCATTGAGCTATCTCAGAGGCACCTAGACAAACTGATTGTAAATAGCTGCTTTAGGACTTCCCAAGTGCCAAGCTCCCTGTAAACGCTGACTAACAGTAAGCAGAAGATACCTGTCTAAACGGAACTTCTACTCAGAGTAATGACAGGAACCTTGAGACTAGAGAGGATGTTATCTTACTGAGACTCTAAAACAGCTCTGATCCCAAAGTTCTCCCTCAGGGAAGAGGCAGGCTCAACCCTTTCACCAACTATGGTGATAGAGCAGGCATTCAGAACATACTGCTTGACGTAACTGAACAAGAACTCTAGTGCTTCAGAAGTTGTATGTGTCCAAACAGCTCCACAACCCAATTGTGCCAAAGCAGACTCTCTACCTCAAAGACCCCACCAACCAGGCTGAGGAGGTGGTTCAGTGGCTGAAATGTATGTACTTTCTATGTATGTACACATGAGCATGTGTATATATGTATGCACTCTATTTTTAATTTTATAACTTTAAATCGGGCTGGAGCGATTGCATAGCAGTAGGGCGTTTGCCTTACAAGCGGCCAACATGGCCGACCCAAGTTCAATTCCTCCGCCCCTCTCGGAGAGCCCGGCAAGCTACCGAGAGTATCTCGCCCACACGGCAGAGCCTGGCAAGCTCCCCGTGATGTATTCGATATGCCAAACACAGTAACAACAAGTCTCTTGATGGAGACGTTACTGGGCCCGCTCGAGCAAATCGATAAACAATGGGAGGACCGTGACCGAACTTTAAATCATCAGTTTAGTAACAGACATTCAACATTCCAACACTAATCCCATCATCATTGCACCTTCCCATTACCACTATTTCCAATTTTCCCAGCCACTCTAACTTAAGCCTGCCCCCATAGCAGGCCCTAAAAATTATTTATTTTGTATTGCTTTATGTTATAATTTTCTAAAAAGACGAAAAAAAAGTTTCTCTAGAAGAAAGTTAGTGAAAATTGTTGCATCTCACCACAGAGCCACTGTATAAGAGATTACTAAGATGTTATTATAGGTTAAGCATTCTGTGTTTATATTTTATTAATGAAGATTGGTTGCCTTCTATGTTACATCCCTTCCTCTCTGGACTATTATACCTGGTTTATCAGAGTTTCAGAGTTTGAGATACAGCATGGTCAAGAATGCAGCCATGTGCTAAGGGGTAATACAGCTGGAATGAAAAGTTTAATTAGAGGAGAGCTTTGGGGTGTGTGCGTGCCTGCCGGGGTTTCCAGAAGTATAGGGAGTTGAAGGGAGGTAGCTCATCTCGGATTCTAGGAAAGCCTGGAGATTTCAGCACAAAACCTGCATACTTGCATTTTTCAAAAGATTAATTTTGGGATGTGGCTCTTCTAAGCAGTGGAATCTAGCTGGGAGCATGGCAGCGATTGTGCAGTGTGGATGTTCGTGCTGCTGGAGCTCTGTTTGGGTGGGTGCTGGGCTCACCCACACGCGTACCCCTCCCACCCTCCCCCAGGTGCTTTGGATGACTCGGCCTTATGCAGGATCAGGGAGAAATTCTGCCACTTACTGATCTCTTTCGGGAGTTATTTAGGAGTCTCTTGATCATGGCCCATGTATGACCTAACATGGCGCAGAAACAGTTCATGGGCATCACTGCAAGAGGTTCCAGAAGTACCGGGAGTTGGGGGAAGGTGCCCATCTCTGAATCCGGGAAAGCCTGGAGATTTCAGTCACAAAACACGCATATCTGAATTTTTCATCAGATTTTTAATTTTTGGATGGGGCTGGTCAAAGCAGTTAAGTCCAGCCAGGAGTATGCAGGGTCCGGTTGGGAGCATGGCAGTGACTGTGCAGTATGGAGATTTTGGCTGCTGAGGTCTGCCAGGCTCACCTGCCCCCTTCCAGGGTATCTCGGGTGACTTAGCCTGGCATGGAGTCTGGGAGAAATTCTCACATATGCACTCTTAAGGGCTGGAGAGATAAGACAGGGGTTGCACTTGCTTTGCATGTGGTTGACCCAGGTTCAATCCCTGGTACCACAGATGATCCTCTGAGTCCAAGAGATAAGGCCTGAGCACAAAGCCAGACATAAGCCCTAGAGCTTGCTGGGTGTGGCCCAATCTCTCATGCTTCAAATAATACATTGATTTAAAAAAAATTCAAAACCAAAAGTAGATTGGTTCAGATTTTAAACAAGTATCTTAAGAGAATCCATGTAGGATACATTACTGGCTGGGGTACAGCACCTGATGCTGAAGGGTGATATTTCACCCAAGCCCTACAGAAGGAATTATCATTCAAATGAAACAAGAATAAGTACAGACTCAGTTAAACCTTGGGTGTGGTAAAGATCCTGGGGTTTAATCACGACTCTGCAATCCCTGAGTCACTTTCTCTCCACTGTGGTATTGCCAGCACACAGACTGCTAACTCCTCTGACCCCTGCTCATCTGCTGTATCTGTTACAACCAAGTTGCTTTGAAAAATATCTCAGTAGCATGTCTATGCTGCAAAAGAAGTTACCTGCAGAGCATGGAATAATTTGTTTTAAATTATTAAGAAATATGCAAGATTAAGAACAGTGGGGGAAAACAAGCAAGTTGTAATTTTTTTTCAGTAATAGTTTAATGACAAAACTTGTCTTTTGATGGCCCATTTTTAGTGCTAAATCCAAATGACATCTGATGTTTTAAATACTCTGATTCTGTATGTTTAAGTTTGAAGATTAGACACTATTAGCAAAAAACACACAAATAAGGGCAAACAGCAATAGCTAAACTTGGTTTCAGGGATTAAACCAAGGATTCCTACTTGTAAATCTTAGTCTCTACATTTAATAGGCAAAAGAGCGATGAAATTCTTACCTTTGAAAAAAGTCCACTTCCTGTAAAAATCTTTCACACATCCCAAATAAAGGGTCAACTCTGTAAGAAAGGGAAAAAAAAAACTAGAATAAAAAAGTTTGAAAAATGTGACCAGTAATGGATGGAGAAATAGCACAGAGGGTGTAAGTACAGTGGGTACAAGGCACCTGCCTTATACATTGTCGACCCCAAATTTAATTCCCATATGGTTCCCCAAGCCTCACCAAGGAGTAATCCCTGAGCAAAGCCAAGAGTAAGCCCTGAGCACTACAAGGTGTGGCCCCAAAACAAAACAAAAATGTGTATAATAGGTAATCAATAAGTTAAGCCCACATGAAAGCACTAAGAATAAACTGTAGCACTGTAGCACTGTCCTCCCATTGTTCATCGATTTGCTCGAGTGGGCCCAGTAATGTCTCCATTGTGAGACTTGTTGTTACTTGTTTGGCATATCGAATACGTCACGGGTAACTTGACAGGCTTTGCTGTGTGGGCAAAATACTCTCGGTAGCTTGTCGGGCTCTCCAAGAGGGGCAGAGGAATCGTACCCAGCTCAGTTGGGCCAGCCATGCTCAAGGCAAACGCCCTACCGCTTGCTATCGCTCCAACCCCGAAATAAAACTATAGTACAAGAATAAACTATAGTACAAAAATTATCTTTTTCTTCCTTAGGAAGAGATATAGTGGTTTGCAAATTTGACCGTTCTACTAAGTATCCGTTCAAAATGAGATAGATGTATTGGGGCTGGAGTGATAGCAGATCAGGTAGGGCGTTTGCTTTGCACGCGGCCGACCCGGGTTTGATTCCCAGCATCCCATATGGTCCCCCGAGCACTGCCAGGAGTAGTTCCTGAGTGCAGAGCCAGGAGTAATTAACCCCTGTGCATCGCCGGGTGTGACCCAAAAAGCAAAAAAAAAAAAAAGAGAGAGAGATGTATTCTGAAGCTCTTCTGTAGGGGTAGAATTATTTCCTTCTTTACTACATCAATGGATTTGTTAACTAGCTGTTTGTAAGGTAAAATTAGTTATTTGGGTAATACCATGTGTGTAGGCTGAATATGTAACCTCATTTTTGAATTATCAATGATAAGCTCTAGCTTTTGTGTATCAAACACAAGTAGATTTTCTTAGTGAGGTGAAATATCAGGGGATCAGGGCTCTCTGTCTCCAAAAATTTTGTGCTTCCAATCTACCCTATTATCTTTAGTCTCCCAATTAATGTGATAAAAAAAAAGCCTTGAAATACGTTTTTGACATTTTATTTAATTATTATTATTATTATTATTATTATTATTTTGCTTTTCGGGTTATACCCTACAATGCATAGGGGTTACTCCTGGCTTTACACTCAGTAATTACTCCTGATGGTGCCCAGGGGACCATATGGGATGCTGGGAATCGAACCTGGGTCAGTTTCATAAAAGGCAAACGCCTTACCAGCTCTAGCCCCACTTTTTGACATTTTAAATGACTTACTAAAACCTTTGGGTGACAATACCAAAGCCCTTAGCAATATCAAACCCTTCCCCAACAAAAAAACATCAAAACAATCTCTTCAGAAAAACAGAGGACTGGAGTCAGAGCAATAGTACAGTAGGTAGGGCATTGGCCTTGCACGCGGTTGAACCAGGTTCAGTCCTCGACATCCCATATGGTTCCCCCCAAGCACCAACAGGAAATTCTTGAGCACAGAGCCAGGAGTAACCCCTGAGCATCACTAGGTGTGACCCAAAAAGAAAAATTAATAAATGAAATAAAAAAAGAGTTTGAGTAAAATCAAGAAAAAAAGAAAGAAAGAAAGAAAGAAAGAAAGAAAGAAAGAAAGAGAGAGAACTCAAAAAATTTAAGAGGCGGTGGGGCTGGAGCAATAGCACAGGTGGGAGGGCATCTGCCTTGCATGCAGCCGAACCGGGTTCGAATCCCAGCATCCCATATGGTCCCCTGAGCACTTCCAGGAGTGATTCCTGAGTGCAAAGGCAGAAGTAACCCCTGAGCATTGCCGGGTGTGACCCAAAAAGCAAAATAAAATAAAATAAAATAAAAAACCTTAAGAGAGGAAAATTTGTCAGAATTTGAAGACTAGACTAAAACAATGTGGCTCAATAAATGATGCTGGACATTAGGTTCAAAAAAATTCAAAATAAAAAAACTAGAAGCAGGGAGCTGGCTTAGGGGTCAGATGCTCAGCATGCATAATACTCCATCTCCAACACTCACCTGCCCATGAGGCAGCCCCCTCAAAAGAAGAAAGAAGGAAAACACTACAGATTGTCAGAGGTCATAGTCAACAGGAAACCCACTCAAGATGCAGCCCAGACAAGCAGTTAGCAAAGGGCACGGAGAGCTATTTCTATGTGGGACATCAGGCGCTCTGAGCCAGGAAGATCCTCATCCTCAACTAAACTAGGTCTTACTTCCTGATGGCCAGAGGCTAAAGGTCAGCTCTCACTGGACACTACCTAGTCCCTTTCTTTATTCCACTAGGGCTCACAGAAGAGGACTCAATCCTCAATTCCCCTGGAAGGTGCATCACCCTTGCCAGGAAAAGGTGGTCACAGCCCAAAACACATTTCTCTGGAGATGGGGAAGCATCGTTCACTACTTCTGTTTCTCCTTGAAACTGATTCTGCTGAGAATGGGTCCCTTCAGTTAGAACCATACTGTTGATAAAGGCAAGATCTCATCTCAAGGAGTTAGAATGTATTTTAAAGTACATTTTAGAGCCAATGGAAACTGGCGATTTTTTATGATCAGCAAACCTACTAGTCACTATTTGTGGAGTACACGCACCCTCATGAAACCATTCAATCTTCACAGATAGTCCGTGAGATAGGGGCTGCTGTCACTCTGACAGTATACACAGGAACAAGGCAGAGAGGTTCGAGGGCTGGTCTGAAGCCCAGGTCTGAAACAAAGCAGTTTGACTGCTTTGTTCGCTGAGAGAACTATTGCTGAGAGAACATATTAGTCCCTTCAGAAGGGGAAAAGAGGTGGGTTCCCTGCAGAAAACCCTTAAGGAAAGTGGAAAGCATGGCAGTAAATTCCCTGCACCAGAGGGAGTCCCATGAAGGTCTCCAGGGAGAACCCGGGAGGGGTCTGCACTAGGTGGGCCTTGGGAAGGGTTACTGGGCAGAATGCCCTGCGCTGATCTCTGCTAAATGTCAGCTTGTGGGCAGGCCACAATGAAACCAATACACAGCCCTTGCCTGCAGTATAGCTTACCCCCGAGTAGTCCGAGTGGTCACTATGAGTTGCAAGGCTTTGGCCTGCAGCCTCATGTGCTGTATGATAACCACCTGCTTATTCTCCACACCGCTGTACATGAACTCCATCTTGTAGGTCTCTTCCATGATCTATAAGAAAAAGGTGCCAAATCAGCACATGTATGGTTAACACAGAAGTCGAAGGTGCTTTGGGTGTCCCCCAGCACTGCAGAGAGGACCCTGCGGATATCAAGCCCAATGATTCTGCATACAAAGCTTTTGTGTTCAACCAGTGTGTTGAACCATATCCCTGGCCTCTCCTATACTTTCATCCTCATCTGATTTTTAAAGATCACTTGACATCCCGTTATTCATCAGTTTGCCGAGCGGGCACCAATAATGTCTCCATTTGTCCCTGTAGCTTGCTAGTGTAGCCCAAAGGCGTCTGCTCATTCCAGGAACACAATGAGCCTCAAACCGATTGTTCAGGGTCTTGACGAAGAAGTCGACTATCTCGTAGGTGGGCGGCCACTCGATTTTTGATCAAAAGATCAAAAGATTTTTAAAGAGATTTGGTTTTTATTAGTTGGCAGAAGAAAGTGGGGAGAGGGGGCACACTTAGCAGTGCTCAAGGCATAACCCTATCTCTGTGCCAGGGATCATTCCTGGGATCACTTTGGCCAGGCTAAGGGGACCGACCATATATAGTGCTGAGGCATTCAATGCGGGGCGCAGCAAACAAGGCAAGTGCTTGAGCCCCGGTAATCTCTCCAGCCCCTAACCTAAAATTTTTTTTTCCCTAAGATTTTTAAGTGCCTATCTTTATAGAAATTAGGATACACACACACACACACACACACACACACACACACACACACACACACACCTGTGAAAAGTATTTGCTCAATGAAAAAATGCCTTTGTTTTGTTTTCTTGGACCACATCTGGAGATGTTCAGGGTTTACTCATGGCTCTGTGCTTAGGAATCACTCCTTGAAGGTGCCAGGGGACCATATGTCGTGCTGTGGAGAACCTGGGTGAGCTGCCTGCAGTGCAAGCACCCTATCCTTGTTACTCTCTCTCCAAAAGAAAGACTTCCAGGGGTCAGAACAATAGCTCAGTGCACCAGGCATTTGCCTTGTATGCAGCGGACCCTGCAGTCTGATCTTCAGCACTTTATATGGTCCCCTAAGCACCACCAGGAGTAGTACCTGAGTGTAGAGTCAGGAGTAACCCTGAGCATCACCAGGTGTGACCCAAAAAGCAAATAAATAAAATAAAGAAATAACTTGTGTGTGTATCAAACCCAGGGAATCTCACATTCAAGGTAAGTAATCTGATAAATCACACCTGCAGTGCATTAAATTTTTGTTTTAATTTTGATGTGGGGCCATAGCTGGCAGTGGTCAGAGGTTACTCCTGACTCTGCACTCATGGCAGGCTCAGGGGACCATATCGGATGCCAGAAATCAAACCGAGATAGGCAGCATACATGGCAAGTGTCCTACCAGCTGTACTATCTCTCCAACCCCATTAAAAAGCTTTTGATTTTCAGCATCATAAAATGTAAAGGACTCAACGGGGCAAGACCACTGCTTAGCAGTGTCTCTCACACAGCAATGGCAACTCTTGCCCACTTGCTCCAGACTCTGCTCTCTGGTCCCAGAAACCTCCTAACGCAAGAACCTCATTTATGGCTTGAGCTATTAAATTCTACCACCCCCCCGACCTTTTTCCCTTGTTTTTTGGGTCACACCCGACAATGCACAGGGGTTAATCCTGGCTCATGCACTCAGGAATTACTTCTGGCGCTGCACGGGAGACCATATGGGATGCTGGAAATTGAACCCAGGTCGGCCACATGCAAGGCAAACACCCTACCTGTTGCGCTATTCCTCCACCCCGCCCCCCATCCCCGGAACTGTTCTATAATGTTAGCCACGTGGCAAGGTTGAGAACTTCAATTCAAGCAAAATGTCAGAGAATATTAGTGGGAAAGTCTGGCTGCCTCTGCTTCCTGAAAGTGACCTTGTCAAGCCTGAAGTGATGTGAAATGAACATGCTGCCCAATACTTCTGAAGGGGTCTTGAGGAATCTGAAGCACCCAAGATATGAAAATACCCACCCACCATGAGCTTCCTCCGGCTCACCATTGGTGACACCAAGGAGTCAGCTCAGAACCACCTTTAAGGAGCTATTTAAACACTAACACTAGAATAAATCAAGACTGCTCAGAATCAGAACAGAAGAGACTCAATCAAATGAAACGAAATATACAGAACAGAAGAAACTCAATCAAATGAAACGAAATATACATGGGCCAAAAGGAGAACTGGACCATAGCTCTGCATGTTGAGGTCTGGGCTCCATCCATGAAATCACCATCACTGCTGGGAGCAACTGCTGAGTACTGAGCTAGTCATAACCCCCAGCACTTGCACACCAAGTGTGGCCCGAGAAAGACAAACAAAAATTAAATGCTAATGTACTGAGAATATAAGGACATTTTTACAATTCAAAAAAAATGGCAAAATTTTAGTTTTTAAATACAAATCTTGAAATATAAACACATTTTCAGTTGTTACTATTCCAGGCTACCTCTGTCAGTGCTGGAGTTATTCCCAGTGCAGTGCTCAGGGGGTGCACCCAGCAATGCTAGGGACAATGTCATGCCAAAGACCAGTCTAGGCACCTGCATGTGAAGCAGGAGTTCCCGTCCGCTTGCAGGAAACACTATGGAACAAAAGAGCCTTCAGAATCACGTCATCCAGCTGCTGAATAAGCTAGAGGAGGGAAAGAGCTGGGGGTCTGGCTCAGCCTCACCCGGCAAATCAGACCAAATATAAAAACAGAGAGTTGTGGGGGTGTGGTGCCACCAGCAGGTTAATCTGTACCTGTGAGGTGAGTGCATCAGCACCCTGATAGCAACTTCAGACTTCCAGATATCTCCAAGATCTCCAAGCCCGCTTGGATCAGGACTGGTCTCCTCCCCCCTGGCCCCCAGTTTTCCAGTAGCTTGGCAGTCATACCACAAACTGCACCAGCACCAAGTAATTTCATCAATAGCCAAGACCTAGAGAGTATAAACTAAAGCGGATGGAAGAGAACGACACAGAATTTCCTGGACATTATACTCTATCCATAATAAGCAATACAAAACAAATTGTCTAGCAGTGCCTTTTCGGCAGGTTTGTGTGGCAGTGGGACTGATGCTGAAATACGAATGTAACCGAAGTGGAGAGAGAGTATGGGGGAAATTGTCTACCACACAGGCAGGGGAAGAGTTAGAATGGGAGGGGGGTACGCAGGGCGGGGATAAACTGGGGATTTTGGTGCTGGAAAATGTGCACTGGTGAAGGGAAGGGTGTTTGATGATTGTATGACCAAAGGTAAAACATGAAAGCTTTGTAACGGTTTCTCAAGATGAATCAATTAAAAGTGGGAAAAAAATGAAAACAACAATAACAACGAAAAATAAAGGTGGGTTTCAGTAAACTTACCTGCTTCGCAGCTGCTGAGACCAAATCACTCTGTTTCAGATACAAGGGGGCAGCCACATTCCACAGCTTTTCCTGCAAGGCCTACATGAAGTAATTGGGAAAGAAGAGAGGACAGATGACGATGAGTAGCAGACAATTTGCTATTTCCGTTGCTGCGAGCTGTGAGGACCACTCCTGGGATGCTGGGGGCCCACACAATGATGGGGATAGAACCCAATGCCAAACACAAGTAATATATGTCACACTGAAGACACACCTCCACACTCATTTGAGATGTTTGTTTTACTTAAAAACCCAAGGTTGGGAGCCAGAGCAACATAGTACAGTGGGTAGCGTGCTTGCCTTGCATGTGGCTGACCTAGGTTTGATCTCCAGCACCTGAGCCCCAGCAAGAGTGATTCCTGAGTCCTACCAGGAATACACCCTGCATACCACCAGGTATGGCTCAAAACCAAACAAGCCAAAGGGTAAAAATTAAGAACAGCTCTGTGGAGCCAGAGTGAGTCCGGCAGTTATGGAGCTTGTCATGCATGTGGCTGACTCAGATTCCATCTCTAGCAATATAAGGAGTACCCTGAGCCCCTCCAGGAGTAAGACCTGAGCCCCACTGGATGTGCCGTACCCCCTAAAATAAGCAGAGCTAGATCCCCAAACACGGGACCTGTCAAGACATTCTCATCTTCTCAACCCTGTTCTACTTTGAACTCACTTCACAGAGGTCTCCACCCCTTCCCAGTAGGTGGGGAAGAGCTCAGATTCAATCCTTCCTATTTCCTCCACCCCAAATGTGAGAGTCCCTTTCCAATTTGCTCACCCGCACCCTGACTTCCAGGACTTACTGAGCCACACAACTAAATATGGAATCTAATCCTACACATGGAGGATAGGAAGGATCGGGAAAACAAACACACACCCCTTCTGATTGTGGCTGCCTTGGGCATGAATGGGAGGCATTGCCCCACAGGGAAGCCCAGCAGTAAACGCACACAACCTATGCCATCTGAAGGGTGATCACAGCTCCTGAAGTACTGCCACTTGTGCAATGCACAGTAGACACAATAGATATACTCCACAAACCCCAGGTTCCTCACAACTATGTTTCCTGGGATTCCATGGGGACAGGCAGAGAAGACTGAGAGAGCACATAAACAGGAGGAAGCCCAGAGCACCACCCAGTGTGACCCCAAAACAAAACAAACAAAAAGAATTAGGTAGAATTAGTTCTTAAGAATTAACTAAGGAGACACACAAACGAATCTCAGACCCAAGCAACTTGTTGCAGAGATGGTCCGGGACTTTGCAATAGGCCTTTTCTGCTGGGCTGCTCCAGACAGGGGCATGTGATGTCCCTCTGCCTGCCCTCTAGGAGTTCCAGCAGCTGCCATTTTCTAGAATTCAGCAAGAAGCTCCAGGTACGAGTGGCGGTGACGGCGAATCCCAAGTCTCATGGGACAGGGGAGAAGGGGGCCCTTCCCCTTCCCCCCCGCCCAGATGGGACTCCAAGATGACACCACATCCACCCACTATACTTAAGTTCCCACATAGTCATGATCCAGAGACACACAAATGAATCTCGGACCCGAGCAATTTGCTGCAAGCGATTTCTTCAGACCCTATTAAAATCTTAGAATTCCTAGAGCATGCAGCCGCTCTTGCAGACACGTGACATTATATTATATCCATAACAAACAATACAAAACACATTGGCTAGCATTGCATTTTCGGCAGGTATGAGGGATGGTAGGACTGGTCTCAAAATATTAAAGGTAACTAAAGTAGACAAAGAGTATTTTGCAAATTGGCTGTGGCACAGGCAGGGGGAGGTGTGGAATGGGGGGGGAGATACTGGGGATTTTGGTGGTGGAAAACGTGCACTGGTGAAGAGATGGGTGTTTGATGACTGTATGATTGAAGCTCAAACATGAAAATTTTGTTACTGTACCTCATGGTGAATTAATTAAAAAAAAAATTTAAATAGAGCTGGAGCGATGGCACATTGGGTAGGGCGTTTACCTTGCACACGGCCAAACCGGGTTCGATTCCCAGCATCCCATATAGTCCCCCTAGCACCGCCAGGAGTAATTCCTGAGTGCATGAACCAGGAGTAACCCCTGTGCATTGCCGGGTATGACCCAAAAAAAGCAAAAATAAATAAATAAATAAATAAATAGAATTAACTAAGAATTTAGTAGGTTAATTAAAGGACACTGTAGTTTGGAAGAGATGGGGAAGACAGTGGGCAGGTGTCTGTCTTGCACACAGCAGATCCTGGCTTGGTCTCAGGCATCCCATATGGTCCACCAAGCCCCACCAAAAGTGAGCCCAGAGCACAGTGCCAGAGGTGACCTTTGAGAGTTGCCAGGTACAGCCCCCAAGCAAAACAAAAGAATTCTCCAATAGAAACAAATACTGCACAGAACAGTACATGATTCCACAGTGGCTAGTAGTTACTTAAGACCAAACATTTCCCTCTTTATTGACACTTCTGGGACTGTTAATGAGCATTTGTGGCATCAGAGAACTTAACTAATCATGAACATAACATACGCAGACCAACCTTGATGAGAAGAAGCTGACACCGAAGATAAGTAGCTGAGAAATCAGCTACTCCTGCCAATTCAGACTGAAGTTCTCCAAGTCTCTGTAGATCTCTGCAGGAAAGAGAACATTGGGTCACACACACTGGATACTGACACCAACAGCAGAGATCATGCCAAAAGCATTTTAGCATTTTACACCCAGAGACAGCTCTTTGAATTTTCAGTGATACCATCTAATACTAAAGTGGTTAAAATAAGAACTTTACTCACTTTGAGCAATAGCACAGTGGGTAGAACATTTGCCTTGCACGCAGCCAACCTGGCTGACCTGGCCAACCCAGGTTCAATTCCTCCGCCCCTCTCGGATAGCCCAGCAAGCTACTGAGAGTATCTCGCCCACACAGCAAAGCCTGGCAAGCTACCCGTGACATATTCGATATGACAAACACAGTAACAAGTGTCACAATGGAGACCTTACTGGACCCGCTCGAGCAAATCGATGAACAACGGGAGGACAGTGACAGTGACTCACTTTGAGAGCAGTTTAAACAGACATTTTTTGGCAAGTAAAATCATACTGCTATACAGAAGTCACACCTATGGCCCAAGAATTTGATTAGTAGCTGTATTTCTTTTTTAGGCCATACGTAGCTGTGCTCAGGGCTTACTCCTAGCTTATGGGTCCCTCCTAGAAGACTTGGGGAGCTATAGGGGGGGATAACAGGGACTGAACCCAGGCAAGTGGCTTACCCCATATACTATCTCTCTGACCCCAAACCAGCAGCTGTAATGCTAAAAAGCGATCCTAAGGAAACTATCAACTGAAAAAAAAAATGCTTTCTGACTCAAAATAGTAATTGTTATATTGACAAATATGGTACAACCCAGAACTACCTGTTCTATAACAGAGAAACTGTTAAAAAAATTGATGCCTATCAATGGAATAGTCATTAAAATATAAATTGGTAATAAAATATGTAATTTCAGTTATGTAAAAAGACATACAGGATTTTGGGTCAGAGTGATAGTATAGCAGACAGGGCATTTGCCTTGCACACAGTGAACATGGGTTAAATCCCCAGCATCCTATATAGTCCCCTGAGCATGGCCAAGAGTAATTACTGAGTGAAGAACCTGGAGTCCTGAGCCTGGGCATGTGTAGCCCCCAAACCAACCCTGTGTGTTTTCAGAAGGTCCGGCAGCGCTGCATCTCTCGCACCGCCTGCGTTCAGTAGTCTTGAGCCGTTTCCCCCACCCCGGGGAGGATGATGGTGATGGGCAGGCAAAGCAATGAATGAGGGCCAGGCTGGTCAGTATCAATTGTAGTTTATTCCAATCTTCACTCTCACTTCTGATTCTTCCCTCTGGAGCTCAAGCTCCCGAACCCGAGCCCACGCCTCAGCTTGAGCCTCTGCCCGAGCCTCAGCCTGAGCCTCAGTCTCTGCTCTCTCGAGCCCAAGCCCCCTTTGAGCTTATAGTCTTACTTTATATAGCAATCAGGTAGGGTGGTGACACAAAGGTGGGTTGAACATTAACAAATTAGCAAAGAGAGGTAAGACCATTCCTTGAGGAGATTAACTCAAGGATTAAATCTCATCTGAAGACATTTATTCCAGATTACTAGGAGATCTGCTCAAGGGTGGGATCCCAACAAGGGTGTATTCTTTCCTCAGCTAGTAATCTACTTAAATAGTTGTAGTAAGTCTACTTCTGATATTTCTAGCAGTGTCATTCTGTATGAGCACAGTAAGAGATAAACTTACAGTTTGGCTCTTCCTGAGGACATCTCACTATATATTCCACTATATATATATATATATATATATATATATATATATATATATTCTCAGGGCTAGGACGAAGGAACGTTACTGGGGCCTACTCAAGGCAATCGACGAATAACAGGATGGTCGTGATCGTGATATATATATAATATATATATAAAATAATATATATAAAATTATATATATATAAAAAAACAGTCCTCAGGCCAGGTTAGTCTTCCTAGCCCCAGTAGGGTCCTAGTCTCGTTGTTACTTACTTTTGAATCATGACAGTATTTGTCCATGATCATGCCCTCAACTTAAAGTTGAGTATCGTGGCGCTTTGGCCTGGCCCATTTCGATGCCAGGGTAGCTCACAGCTTGCCCTGGGTCCATTCAGTCCCTCATCAGGACCCTGCTTTTGGGGTGCTAGGAACTAAGGGCAACTGAGTCAAGAAAGCAGATGCCCAGGAGTAAATATTATTCAGAGTCAATCAACTCCCAAGTTACAAAGCATAATATTAACTGTTTTTCTGTGTCCATACAGGAAGGACATTGCTTTAAGGTAAACTATGCAAAGAACATAACTTACAATACAAGTTCAGTGTCCTTAGAAGGATCTGATCTTACAAGCTAACAGAATCTGATTAGGGAGAAAAGGTGATTCACTGGCTAGGGAGGAGAGCACAGAGCACAGAGAAGAATTTACAGATAAACAGAGGAATGGGAGCACTGTGATGGGTGTAACCGGATAAACCTGAGCTCCCTGTGGCAATGTTATTCTACACAACCCCAAATCAAAAAACAGGATAGAAACAGGGCAAAGTCTTCTGGGTAGCCACACAGGATGCTTTTGGGATTCCCTTCCCCCCTTGCTCCTTTTGGCTTCATCAGACTAAATAAGAAGCTTATAGCTCTGATCACCATAGCAGTAAGATTTTAACTCTACACAAAAACAAACTAAAACAACTCTGAAACAAAGCAAATGTTTCAAATAAGAACTTTTTTCTCTGAGAGGAAAGCACAGACGAGCACACTCCTGTAGAGCTCCACTAGGGAGCCCCTTAGTAACAAAGATGAAGGGAAGGGTCGGAGCAACAGCAGTGGGGAAGGCGCTTGTCTTGCATGCAGCTAACCCAGGTCTGGTCCCCTGTACACCATAAAGTCCCCCCAAGTCCTGCCAGGAGTGAGCCCTGAGCACTACTGAATTTGGTCCAATAACCAATAAATAAATCAGATGAAAAGAGAAGAGAGAAGAGAAAATTTCAATGAAAGAGGAAGCCTCAGCCTCCCGCTACCAGTTTCCTCTCTCCAGATGCTTCATCTCTCCCCCATCAACATTCCACCCTCATGATTATTTCTCAGCATTCCTGGGGCTTCCCAGGAAGAAAAAGCTCTGTCTTGGAGTCTAGGCTGATAGAGAAACAATTGGCAATTAGGCCTGGAAGATTCATTTCCTCTTGCCATTGAAGAAGGAAGCCAATTTCCTCTTGATACCCCACCCCCCTCATCAAACTCACACACATTGCTTTCCCAAAGTCCTGACCCAACATTCCTCAAGCTTTCCAGGACCCTGGAACTCTGACCTCTGCGATAAGGGCAAGGATGCCCAGAGAGATAGAGACCAACTGGACAACCATGGGATTTTCTGACATCTTTTAAATATTCACCAACCGATACAGAAGACCAGGAGTCTTTAAAAAGACTCCCACAAAACTCCCCGACCTTAATTCAGTCCCATACTGAGTTCCTCCTGGGGAGCTTCTGTGACTTTCTCTTCTACTTTCCAATAAACTTTTCTACTTTCCAACTCAAGAGTCTGAGTATCTTTATCACTAATTTTAACCTTAAAAATATTGAAGAACCTGGGAATTGCAGAGGTACACAGAGACCCACCTGTGACCACTCTGCCTAAGCTGCATCCTCAGACCCTGTTCTGCATCCTCAGACCCTGTTCTGTCCTGCTTAACTAAAGTATAAGGGGGCGGGGGACAAAGCAAGGGGTCAGACTGATTGTGGGTGAAGGAAGGAAGGAAGGAAGGAAGGAACACACCAAGGGGTCAGGCCGATTCAGGGGGGTATGAAGGAAAGGGACACACCAAGGGGTCAGGCTGATTTGGGGGAGAGGGGACACACCAAGGCTGATTCGGTGGGGGGGGGGGGGGGTAGGAAGGAGGTGACACATCAAGGGATCAGGCTGATTCGGGGGAGGGGGTTATGAAGGAGGGGACACACTAACGGGTCAGGCTGAATCAGGGAGGGGAAGGAGGGGACACACCAAGGGATCAGGCTGATTCAGGGTGGTAGAAAGGAGGGGACACACCAGGGGGTAAGGCTGATTTGGGGGAAGGAAAAGAGAGGGGACACACCAAGGAGTTCAGCTGATTCAATCTTTAGTTTAGAACTTAACTTGGGCCAGGGTTATAGTACAGCTAAAAAGGCACGAACCTTGTACACGGCCAACACAGCTTGATCCCCAGCACTCCATACAGTCCTCTAAGTTCATCAGGGATCTGATCCCTGAGCCCAGAGCCAGGAGGACGCTCCAAGCACCACTCAGTATGGCCGAAAAAAAAAAAAAAGGCTCACCTAATAAGATGTAGTCAGCCAAAGAAACAGCCAAAGACAGTCCAGAGAGTTTTCACTGTGCCCCTGCTATTGTCAGGAAAAGCAGCTGTTCTCAACAGAGAACCATGGGCCAAAGAGCAGCAGCAGCAGCAGCAGCAGCAGGGAGGAGAGGCAGGCCCAGGGCAGAGTCACCAAAGGACAAAGCCAGAGAGGGATCAGCACCAGGCCTCGAGTAGGATTTTGTAAACAGAAGGGGAGAACAGAACAACCTTCAGCTATGAAATAAAGAAACTACATACCAAGAACTGTATATATCTCTGTGTGTACATGCGCACACTAAAAATGTATAGTTTTCCCCAGAAACCACACAAAAGTGGGACAAATTCCCTATGACACAATAAATATTCCTCCTGTTTAACTCACTAGAACTCTGCATTTTCCATGATCCACCAGACTAACTCATAAAACAAGAAAAGAATTAAAGCAACTTCTTTGTAAGCCTTTCTACTTGTGTACCAATGGCCATTTTGGTCCTAAAATAAGGAGAACTTTTCACTGCCTGATGTGCCAACCACAAAACACAAGAGTCAGACAGACCAGGAAACCACGGTGAGCAGCAGTGAGCCAGCAGCCCCAGCCTCACCTGATGGTGAGCTCCAGCAGCTCCTGGGAGCCCTGGGGGTCCAAGTGCTGCAGGCTGTACACCCGCAGCAGGCTCTGCTGCAGGAACTGGGAGGAAGGGTCCTCGTGAGGTGCCAGGCTGGGCGAGGTGGCAGATGACACAGGTTTCCTCCCTGGTAACTGAGAAGACATGGGGTGAAGACAGTACCATCAAAGTCAGACCCAACGACTTTGGAAAAAAAAGAAAAATCAAGCAATATGTGAGGCAAAGAGAAGGGGAAAAGGACTAGGGAAGGGAGGAGAGCTTAAAAGGAAAAGGGATGGGAGAGAGACAGGAGTACAGAAATGACTATGAACAACAGTATAATCCACCTGCTATGGCCACAAGCAACAAGGGTGGGGGTAAGGAACAGTGACAACATATGGCTGAAATAAATGAGCCACACACAGGAATGGGACTCGTGTCATTACTCGTGTCATTTTTTTTATTTTGATTTGTGTTGGCATACCCATAGTGCTCCAGGGTATCCTGGCTCTGCACTCAAGGGTCACCCCAGCAAAGCTTGGGACACTGTGGAGATAGAAGCAGGATTGATAGTGTAAGGTAAGTCCATTTATTTTTATTTTTATGTTTTTGTATGTAGGAGTATTGCTATTTATTTAGCCACTGATTAAGCTCATTGAAAGAGGCATGAACTCCACATTACGTTTTATTTTTCATTTTAAAATTTTTTTCAGATCTTTTCAATAAAGTTGTCCACAATATTTTTTTACTTTCAATATTGCAACACCAATCCCACCACCACTGCACTTTCCCATCACCATTGCTTTGAATCTTCCCACAACTACCCCAGCCTGCCCCTTAGACAGATGCTGAATAATTTATTTTGTACTCCTTGGCATGAATAGTATGAGGTTCCGTTCCTGTAATTCTAAAATTTTTTAAATACTTGGGAGTCCAGAGGCATCTCTGTGGCATGCTGCTCTCATCTGAGATTCATTTGTGAATCCGAATCATGGACGTTAATGTGCTTAAATGGTGCCCAGAGGCAGTTCCTGGGTGAGAACCGGAAGGGTGGGGAAATGGGGGAGGGGTCGCCCATCCCTGACTCTGTGAAGCCTAGAGTTTTCAGTCACTAGACCCGCACACGTGGGTTTTTCAGAGGGTTCATTCTCATGCACTGGGCAGGGGGGCGGGGCGGGCTAAGGAAAAGTCTGTGAAGATCAGCCATGAGTGCGGCAGCAATTGGGTTATGGAGGTGTGAGGTTGCCGGGGGTTCATTTGTGGCAAGTGGAGGGACACACCAGCCCCTCTCCAAGGTGCCTGGGTGAAATCAGCCAGGTGTGTGGTGGGGAGACAACTCTGCAGCATACTGCTTTCCTCCAAGATTCATGTGTGAGTCTCTGAATCATGGCCGTTCACTTGATCACTTGACATTCCTTTACTCATCTATTTGCTCAACCGGGCACCAGTAACTTCTCCATTTGTCCCTGTCGTGTGCTACTGTAACTCAATGGCGTCTGCTCGCTCCAGGAACATGAAAAGCCTCAAACCATTCGTTCAGGGTCTTGACGAAGAAGTCTGACCATCTTGTAGGTGGGCGGCATGCGACCTTTTGACATCCTGTGGAATCCAGTCAGTAATGGCTCTAGTCCAGCAGTCCTCTCCAAATCTCATTATGTGTACGGTCCATCTGATTTTCGACGCCTTGGCAAAAGAGACAGCATCCCTGATTCTCGATTGTCGACAGAGGTTGGAACTTCGGATTTCTTCTCTCAATTGAGTTTAGCATGATACTCCAAGCATAGCTCTTTCGATTCCTTTTTGGGAGACCTGAATAGTGTTCTAATCCTGTTCTTGTAGGGCCCAGGTCTCTGAGGTGAACGTTAATGCAGGAAGAACGGTGGAGTCAAAGAGATGTGCCTGAAGTCGGAGGTACTTCGTCCTCTTAGCTATTTCTTCAACACTCTTGAAGGCATTCCATGTCGCTCTCTTCCTCCTGCGCAACACAGGTGCCAGGTCATTCATCATGTTGACTTCTCAACCTAGGTACACATCACTGCTGCATTTGGAGTTGTTCGTTTCGTCGAGAGCAAATGAAACGTCAGGAAAAAGTCTGCTTCTCATGAATACTGTCTTTGTGAGATTCAGCTGCAGTGTGACCTTTCCACACTCACCGTCGAAGTCGGCCAGCATTTGTACCACTTGGCTAATGTTTGGTGCTATTAGAATGATATCATCAGTGAAGCAGAGGCAGAGTAGTTGCCAACCATCTATCTTCACTCCCATTTCTTCCCATTCCACATGAAGTTCTCGAGGGTGGCACTGCAGAGTTTCGGTGAAATGCTATCACCCTGCCAAACCCCTCTCTTGACAGGGGTGATCACTTCCTGGTACAATGGTGAGACACTGGTAGTGAGTCTGTAATACAGCTCATGGAGGATCCTGATGTATTGAGTTTGAATGCCCTGTCTGGCTAGGGCTTCGATGACCGCTTCAGTCTCAACAGAATTAAAAGTCAATTAAAAATCAATGAACATTAGACAGAGCGGCATCTTGAAATCGCGAGAAACCTCAATGAGTTTGGTTACCGTGTGGATATGGTCGACCGTGCCGAATCCTTTTCGGAACCTGGCTTGCTCGCATGGTTGTCCTTCATCTAGTGTTCCGCCAATCCTATTCAGGACGACTTGAGTGAACAGCTTGTAGACGACGGACAACAGGCAGATCAGGCGATAGTTGCCAATGTCGTGGATGCCTCCCTTCTGTACAGTAGAACAGTCCTGCTGGTTTTCCATTGGGACGGAACCTTGCATTCAGACAGGTAGCGTGTGAAGAGCCGAGCCAGTGTATTGACGAATACTGACAGCAGATTCTTCAGGTGTTTGGGTCTGACCTTGTCTGGGCCGGGTGCTGTTCGCTTCTTTACTGACAAAATGGTGTGTCAGATTTCGGAAGGGAGAACATTGGGAACGACATATCCATCCTGCAGAATTTGGTATGTGGGCAGGTGGACGTGGCTATCCAAGAGGTCCGAGTAGAAGTCATGGATAATCTCCACTGCCCTTCTGGAAGATGTAATAGATTCATAGGACATCGGAGGGCAGTCATCTTGGTCTTGTAGTTGGCGAAGAACAGGCGGGTGTTGCAAATGCTTTTCCCAGTTTCTGCTGCATCAGCCAGCATTGCTGCTCTTCTCTCTTTGAGGTCTTCCTTGATCGCTTCTCTGCACAGCTTTGCGAGCTCAGATGTTAGCTTGTTGTTGCCTGAGGCTCGCACCCAGCCACGTTGGCAAATGAGCTCACGAGTTTTTGAAGACAGGCACCTTTTTGTGGCTTTCTCTCTCTCGGCGTTCCTCACACAATCATGGAGGTGCTAAACCAGTCGATCGTTTTCTTCATCAATGTTGTCAACGACAGCATCTTCCCATGTTGTGGAGTTCTTAGGTCGATCTTCTCAGTCCTATCTTGGCATTAAAATCACCGACAATTATCTTGTAGAAGGTGTGGTCTTCTTTATAGAACTTCTCCAGCTCCATGTAGAACTTCTCAATTTCTTCTTCATCATAATTGGATGTTGGTACATAGACAACAACAAAGATTTAAACTGCTGGCAGTGAGTCACATCTATTCAAGTGTAATTGTCTAATTCAGGTTGTTAGGCACTCGAATGAATCAATGCTCATGACCAAGTTCGTGTTGACAAGGACACCAACACCACACCTCTTTTGTCGCATGTCCCAAGAAACAGCTCTTCTCCAGTGTTGAAAACGGCATGATGTGATTGATGTCTTCTCATCTCAGTCAGACCAATGATGTCGTACTTCATCTTCCATGCTTGCACCATCAGGTCCTCGATGGATGCTTCTGATGCCAGCGTACGTGTGTTGAAAGTACAGACAGTCATTTTAGTCCTTCTTCATTTTGGCAGCCTAGTTCGGCCCTGAGATTCTATCAGCCTCTCCTTGCTCATCCTTCTTAACACTGCCATATTGGGGGTTCTTTCAGGGTCAGGGGAATGAGACCCATTGTATTTACTGTTTTTGGCATATTAAGTACGCCATGGATAGCTTGCCAGGCTCTGCCATGCAGGTGGGATACTCTGGTAGCTTGCCAGGCTCTCTGAGAGGGACAGAGGCTTTTAGGGCGGCCTCTAATCGCCCTTGCAGGTGTTCCCATGGTTCAAACCATACCTGAACCCCATTAAATGTGATAATGAAAAATGGGTATTAAGTGTCCTATAATGTGTTCGGAAAGCGACCTGGAGTGTGGTGGCAGCTGGGTAGTAGAGGTAGTGGAGGTCGACCGATGAGGTATTTGTCTTGCTCCAGCAGGGTAGGTCTTCTGTGTGTGATCTCTGGGTCACTGGAGATTGGTGGAAGCAGGCAGAGGATCTTTGTTTCCGGGTCCCATTGAGTCTGGAGTTCAAGGTCACAAAATTCCGCTTTGCCTCATTCTGTGGGGCTTCACTCATGTGTGAAGCTCGACCTGAGCAGTCCAGAAAGCGACCTAGAGTGTGTCGGCAGCTGGGTAGAGGAGGTAGTAGAGGTCAAATGATGAGGTATTTATCTGGCTCCGGCAGGTGGGTCTCTGCGTGTGATTTAATGCATTTAATGCACTTAAATGCTCTCTTTTGACCTCTTTCAAGACTTATTTATAGGTCTCTGAATCAAGGCCAGTAAATGAACTTGTATCGCAGAGCCGGAGGTGGTGTATGGGCCTGACTCCCACATATCTAACTTTCGGTAGTTTAAATTCTCGAAAAACTTGGTCCCAAGTTGTTGGTGTCTGGCCAGAGGCACAGTGGCAATTTTGCGATATCGGGAAGCATTAAGGCACCATCAGGCTGCTGATGCACTCGCCACGCAGGTACAGGTTGACCCCAAAGCAAGTCCTTTAATCCCTGTAACTATCTCTCTGACCTGTCACTATTTTTTCCCTTATTTGAAACTTTATTTAAACACACATGATTTATAAAGTTGTTCATAACTGTAATTTTAGATATTCAATATTGCAACAGCAATCCCACCAGCAGTGTGACCTCCCCTACACCCTCACCTACCAGGCTAGCACCTGAACAGGCACAAAATCATTTACTTTACATTTCTTATTACAACATTTATCTCATAATGGTTTCATTAAATTACCGTCTGAGGCTTGCTGAGCCGTGAGGTGCTACTGCTTTTGCTCACTGAGCTCTGTGAGCTTCTACACAACTACCCCAACTCATTTTCTGTGTTCCTACTGAGATGCCAGTACTGGGAACTTAGGAGATGCACAGCCGCACGCTCCAGCAGCTCCGTCACTAGGACAATTCAGCAGTGCAGCATCTTGGGCACGTCAGGCTGGGCACAGCTAAGGGTTCTCTCAAAGAAAACAAACACAGCACAGTCTACCTGTTTTAAAATACACTGTCTAGAGGCTGGAGAGATAGCCAAGTGGGTGAGACACTTGTCTTGCATGAAGTCAACCTGGGGTTCATCCCAACACACCATATGGTCCTGGAGGCCCCCACCCCCCAACCCGAGTAACCCCAGAGTGCAGAGCCAGGAGTGAGCACCTCCGCTGTGACCGAAGAGAGAGAGAGAGAGAGAGAACACATAAAGATGACTTTTCAGAGAAGACAATCTGCTTCCAGCTATTTAACATCTATAAAGAACCAAAGTACAAAAAAATAAAAACAAAAAGCAAAGCTAAGAAGGTGTGAACATACCCGCAAGGCAGGGACAAGATGAGAGAGGCTGTCTCGAAGGTAGGCGTAGTGTCGGAAGGTGTGATCAGAGAAGAGTGCGGCCATGGTTGGACAGCTCTTGGCAGCATTGAAGATGAGAACCAAAACTGCAATATCTGAGGGACAAGCACATTAAGGAAACTTGGGAGATATCACAGGTTGAGTTGCCCAAAACTTGGTACTCCCCAATCTCCATTAAAGGACAATAATTTTCTTCTCTTTTTATTTTTTATCTACTTCCAGTTCAGAATTGTGGGGTCGCTTCTGGCAATACTGAGGGGACCATGTAGTGCCAGAGATGGAGCCCAGGCTCCCACATGCCAAGTGTATACTCAGTCCACTGAGCTCTTCCCCCAATCCAACAACTTTCTGATAATCAAGAAAGCTGAGAGGCAGCACCTCATCTGTTCAAGTCTGATCATGAGACTAACCAGTGGGGTAGAATCTTCATGTTGAACCTCTAGTTCATTGTTGCTGTTTTGAGCCACACACAGCTATGCTCAGAGCTTACTCCTGGGATCACTTCCGGCAGGCTGGGGAGGGGGAACCAAATGGGGTGCTGGGATCAAACCTGGGTCGGCCACGTGTAAAGACCACATATACAACCCTACCTGAACTAAAGGTCTGGCCACTCAACTTCCAATTCTAATTTTCTTGATATTTCCACCATAAGTGTAATTACACATGCTACCAGTCTTCAGCCCTTCAAAGTCGTCCATAAGGTTTGTTGATCAAATTCTTTGAAACTCCTTGTAATGTTAAGGTCCAACATAATAACAACAAAAAATTGGGAGTGGTAGTGCCAGGGACAGAACCCAGGGGCTCACACAATTAAGACTTCCCCTGAGCTACATCCCCATTCACTGTAACAAATATGCTAACGACATCAAGAATGAAAAATCTGTTATGAATGGGTTAATGGATTTGGCCTATACCCATCAGAAACAGCATTATCTATGGCAGTTACAGTCCTGTGAAATTTATTTTTAGATTTTTGGCTATACCAGTGGTAGTCTAGGGACCATATGACAGTAAGGATCAAATCCAGACCTCCTGCATGCAAAGCACATGAGACAGGTCTTTGGGGTGTGAGTACATAGTGAGAGGGATGGAAGGGAGTCTTCTAAGCAGACTGTTGGGCTGTGGGGCCACTCCAGCAATTTTCTGCCCTCTGGGCAGCTGCTTTGGGGGCTGCTTAATGCCTGCACTATCTCTCTTTGGGCCTCTCTCTGGTTAGTCTGGGAGACACGAGGTAAACAGTAGAGTACTGGTCGACACACAAGTCAGCCAAACTCTCATGTAATTCTCCAGTGCATTGAGAGGGACAAAAAAAAGGACAGGGAGAGCACAAAGAGGTGGTGTTCAGATCTCAATCTCGCACTCACAAGGCCAAGTTTCATCCTAGCACACTGCATGGGCGGGCCTGGAGTTTCCTATCACTGATGGGAGTGACCCCCGTGTCCAAAATACTGGTGTGACCCCCCCACACACATCCCCCTTAATAAACATAAAGCAAGAAAGTAGTCAACAGTAGAAAGGTGAGTGGCTGGGCTGACCCCTGTGTCTCGATAAATACCTTTAAGTCTAAGGATCTCCCATAAAGAGAGCAAAAGGAAAAGGTTGGGGCGAGGATTGTATCAATACACAGATGTGTTCCCAGGAAAGTGTCCAGGCGTGGAGTGCTGCATGGCTTCAGAACCAGGCTGGTCACCGGGCACAGCGCGGCATTGCCCATCAGGCTTCCAATCAAAATGATCAGGAGTAAGACAAAGGGAAAAGTGCAATTTTTGAAACTAGAGACATCTTACTGACTCCCAGATTTGCTCTTTTGAGCTAGCTTTGGCTAGCTCAGCCTTGATTTTCTCACCTGAAAACTTAGAATAATTCCCCTTTCTGTTGTTTGGAAGATCAGTTTTAAGTGGTATTTGGAACAATGGTAGGTACTCAAGAAATAGTTAAAACAGTATCATTAATGGCCAAGGTGAGTCACTGAAAAAATAACAATGATGCTGAGAATAATAGCAGGTCCCCCTCAAAATATCCTCCTCTCACCTAACATGAAAAGAAAAGAAAAAGCCAACTGCAGAGCAAGCTATGCTGCAGAAAGCATCCCATCCAGCCCTCCAACCCCCAGAAGGGCAGCAGCACCATTCAGGAACTCAGAGGATACAGGCTGGGTCATCCATGTCAGGCTCAGCCGTGTCAAAGAATGGGTGAGTGCTCAGGAGCTCAGGCACCAAGGGAAGCACCAGAGTTGGGTGTCGGCTCCCCAGAAACTTCAAGCACCTGAAACAAAACAAGAAACCGGGCAGCAAGTTAAAGGAATACTTTCAAACTACAGACACTAGGACTGGAAACGATATTCAGAGCAGGAGATTTGATTTAATTTGATTCTCACTAGAAGTGTAAGTTGGGTGTGACGGGGTAAGTTTGTGTGAGTATAACTGTGTCAGCATGAGTGTGTTGTAGTCATTGTATAGTGTATTATCTGTGTGAATATGAGTGTGTAAAAGCTTGAGTGTCTGTTTGTGTGATATATTCATGCCAACGTGCTGCAAACAAGCATTTATCAGGAACTGAACCCATGGGCCTCATGAGTGGAGCTCGTGCCACCACTAAGTCACACCCTGACTCCAGAATCAGAAATTTTTTATCTTTGTTAATTCTGCAACTTCAGAGGAATCATCAAATTATGTTAGCACTCAGTTAATTTGTCTAAAAACGTGGTCATTATGAAGACATACTTATAACAGATATTACTGTCATTCAACCAAGAGCCATTTCCCCCTTCTCTTCTTCAAAAACCCCCCCAAAAACCCTTCGCCAGCCTGGCAATCCCATCCTGGGCTGGCTTGGACTTCTGTGCCTGGAGGCAGTAGGTAAGAACTTCTCAGAGGGCAAGGGATGCATAAGACAAAGCACTGTCCCCTTTCTGAACCTCCAGCAGGTGTGTAGGGACTTCTCAGGGCGCAAATGCAAACGGGGGGGGGGGGGGGGGTGCATGAGACAAGTATTGTCCCTTTTCTATCCTAAGATGCTATCATCTTTTTCTTTTTTCCATTTTCTTTCATTAAAAAACTGATTCACAAAATCATTGATAGCTGAATTCTAGGCATATAATATTTCAACACCAATCCCTCCACCAGAGTCAACTTCCTTCCACCCGTGTTCTCATATTCACATCCCCCACCCCACCCCCACCTGTCTTCTTGACAGGTACATCACAAAATTTCAGTGGCTGCAGCTAAGTTCTCAGGTTTTCAGTCCTGCTGTCTCTGTATTTTGGATGTATGGCTACACCCTCACCCATATCACCAGTATAACTGAGGCCCTGGTGTCTCTTAATACATTACTTCTTGTTCTCTTCTCCGCACCCTCCCCAATTCCTTTCCCTCCCTTTCTCCTCTCTAAACACTGGGTCAAGGATGATCTAAGCATCCCACTTTACTACAATACATTTTCTCACCCAGTAGTTGGTAGAGCACAGGTAAGTGAGATCATCCTGTGTTTGTCTTTCTTCTTCTGGCTTGCTTCACTCAATGTGATATGAGATACTGTCTTCTAAGGCAGTTACCACACAATTTGGACAAAGGAGAGAGGATGCAAAAAATACCCCACACATTTCAAGCCCCCTTAAATTATTGGGTAACAGATCTAGGAACCAACTTGCTCAGTTCCTGTTGTACCAACAACAACAAAATAAATGAGACCTTATTGCTTAGTCATTGTATATCAAATGTTTCTGTTATTTATCTGCAAGAACAGTGTAACTATATACTGGGTAAAGCTCTGAAATCAGAGACATCTGATCTGGAATCAAATTTTGTAATTGTGTGGCATTTAGCAAATGAGTCGCTTTTTGTTTCTTAATAATGCTAGGAATTGAGTCCAGAGTCTTAACATACAAGGCAAGGGCTCTACTGAACAAACATCCCTGGTCCTGGGCAAATAAATTTCTTATCTAGGAAATGAGATTCAAAAGCACTAGCTCAGATAGTACAAATAAATGAGATAATGAAAGGAAACTACTTAGACAGCTATCTACCACATCGATAACTCAGTGAACTATTAGTTAGCTACTCTTAATTGCCATTAGTAACAATCAGGAACACATGGAGCCCTGGCAACACGCTTTTCTACCAAGGGTTCGGGAGCAGTGAAGATGGCTCACAGCCCAGCAACACACACTCTGCATGCAGGAAGTCCCAATTCCCAGCATCACATGCTTCCCAGAGTATCACTGTGAGTGACCCTCCCCCCCACCAATGAAGAGCTCCTGAGCACTGCTAAGGGCAGCCAGAACAAACAAAACAAAGCCAGACTCCTGCATGTTTGAGGCCGATTTCTACAATAAGGGTCATGTCATAATCTACGGTGACCCACTGAACAATGCAAATGTTGCACATTTATCATACTGCTAAACTAAAAGGGCACATGAGCAAAAAGAGTGCTTACTTCCATATGGAATCCCGATCAGTAGGGTATTTGGTCAAATTCTTCAGCAGCTCCACCAGCGCAAGATGGATTCCTTCTTTGGTCGAAACATTAGTGCAGCATAAGAGCTCATGAAGTGCTTCTCTAATATCTCTGGAAGAATCCTTAAAAGTGAAACATCAATTATCATCCTCATCATAATAACGACAATGACCACTTCTGGCTAGCTACCCGTGGAGAAGCAGCCAAATCACACCACGACTCATGGATATAGCTGAGTTGAGGGAGAGCGCTACTTTTTTTTTTTTTTTTTTTGCTTTTTGGGTCACACCCGGCGATGCTCAGGGGTTACTCCTGGTTCTGCACTCAGGAATTACTCCTGGAGGTGCTCAGGGGACTATATAGGATGCTGGGAATCAAACCCGGGTTGACTGCATGCAAGGCAAACGCCTTACCCGCTGTGCTATCACTCCAGCCCCCGGGAGAGCGCTACTTTACAGGCAAGACACAGGCAAGCTGGACTCCCAGCACAGCCCCAGGGCACAGCCACTAGAGTGATCTCCAAGCACTGCATCTGTGACTGAAATTGTGGCCCTCCCTGAGCACCAGTACGGAGTGCAACAAGCCCAACTATCACAATAGCAACGCCAAGGGGAGAATCTACCTTAATTAAAAAAACAAAACAAAAATAAAAACCATAGGGGAGCCAAGGAGATAGTACAGGGGTTAAGATTCTTGCTTTGATGAGGACTACCCTGGTTCAATCTCCAGTACCTCAGATAATCCCTTGAGCACTGCCAGATGTGACCCAGATCCACAAAACCTTTAGTGCTGGAGAGAAGGCTCCACAGCCTGGTGTTGAAACTTTGAATGCTGGAGGCTAGGCAACAACATCAAGAATCACCAAACGTGCCCTAAGCACAGAACCAGGAGGGGCCTGTGAACCCCATTAAGTGTAACTCCCCTCTCCACAAAAGAAAACAAAATATATGCTTAAAAAACACCAGAGAGGGGCCGGAGCAATAGCATAGCGGGTAGGGCGTTTGCCTTGCACACAGACAACCTGGGTTCGATCCCCAGCATCCCATATGGTCCTCCAAGCACTGCCAGGAGTAATTCCTGAGTGCAGAGCCAGGAATAATCCCTGAGCATCACTGGATGTGACCCAAAAAGCAAAAAAACAAACAAACAAAAAACCACCAGAGAAGGGGTGATACTTGGAAGTGAGGCTTAAGAAGTTATATGTCTATCCTCTTATTTGTACAGTCATAATCTACTGAATGCTAAACACATACTTATCAAGCACTTACTATTGGGGCTACAGAAGCAATTAAAATCAAATCCCTGCTGCAGGGTCTTTAAGTGAAAAGGCAAAAACTTATGTATGCTCTGAAACTGAGAGGATCATGGAGAGAACTCTGAAAAGGGTTCAGGAGAACATTCAAATTTAGGAGGATTATTTCTTTATCTAGGCACCATAATTTAAAACAGCGTCAACATTAATGCTCCAGAAATACAACGCCGCTCCAACAGGTTGGGAGTTTGCCACAGGATCATGGGCAGAAGCCAGCCCAAACCCCAGGTGACTGAGAGCCCTGTGGGGCTGTGCCATGCTGGGATCTGAGCCAGCCCGACCCTTTCCAGCTTCAGACTTTCGAAGTGCTTTTCTATGGGGGTGGGGGTGGGGTGAGTCACAACCCACTGCATTCAGGAGCTCGTCCTGGTTCTGTGCTTCGGAGTGCTCAATGACCATACATGGTGTTGGGGATTAGAACTAGGGCCATGAATGGCCCAAAACCTTTGAAAGGCAGGTGCCTCCCTCCTATACACTGTCTCTGAGCCTGAAGTACTGTTTATGCCGGTTTCTGCTTGGCTTATTGCAGTGCTGGGACTGATTCCTGTCAAGATCTAGTAATTCATTAAAGTGGTGAAACAAGGTGACAAATTTTATCATTCCTCATCACCTAACAGCTGGAATCTTTCTTCTTACTAACACTTAGCTATCCTGAAGTTTAGTCTGATGGACAAAGTCTGATGCTTTATTTTTTTTTTTAATTTTTTTTGGAGGGTCACATCTGGAGATGCACAGGAGTTACTCCTGGTTCATGTACTCAGGAATCACTCCTGACGGTGCTCGGGGGACCATATGGGATGGTGGGAATCGAACCTGGGTCGGCCGCGTGCAAGTCAAACGCCCTACCCGCTGTGCTATTGCTCCAGCCCCAAAGCCTGATGCTTTAATTTGCTAATTTTCAGAATGAGGAGTTGAGAGTGTCCCTTTCCGTTCATTACTGGAGGGCTTCAGTTTCCTGTAGTGCGACTTGTTCTCCTGAGGCTTGAGGGATAAGCTGCCAGCACAAGGAAACCAGTCTGTGCCTGTCTGAGCTGCAATTTATCATGCACGTGAGGGCGCCATGAAGCAATTAACTAGGGCACATCCTATGGGAGGGTGCTTCTGCTGCAGGACTTTATTTCCTGAGCCTCAATGCAGAATCAGAAATTCAGTAAGAGGCTCTCAACTTCTCTCCTGCCTCTTTTTCCAGGTGTTTCCCCCCCCCCCATTTGGGGATCTCACCCAGCGATGCTCAGGGTTTACTCCTGGCGGTGCTTGGGGGACCACATGGGGTACCGGGCATCCAACCCAGGCTGGCCGCATACAAAGTAAACACTCTACTCGATGCACTATCACTCTGGCCCCCTTTTTCAGGTTTATGAGAGTAAGTATTTGTGTTCTACGTGGAAAGGTACTACCTGGTTACTTTTCCAGTACCAGCCAATGCTTGCAAGAATTTTGATTCCTTTCATCAAAGGATGAGAGCCCATTTGAGATTACAAAGTAATAATAGAGTGAGATATTATCTCCCAGTCATAATATAAAATACTTCCACACCCTCCGGGAGGAAAAGGTGGTACTAATAGATGGTAAAGTGTTATGTAAGAAACCCTATCAGCAACACTATTGTAAACCACAGTGCAAACACAAGAAGGATTTCCTCACAGAGGCAGACTGGTGGGTGCGGGAAGCGACATTGGTGAATAGAGCCATGTCAAAACATCGCGTGACTGAAACCCAGTCATGAATGACTTTGTAATTTCACAGTGACTAAATTTAAAGAAAAAAGAAAAGAGAAGAAAATACTTCCATACCTCCCATTTCTTCCTTTGCTGACCACCCTCACATCCAGCCTCTGCCAGTCATGGATGTGTTTTTCTGCCCATCTTGCGTTTCCGAAGTGATCGTAAATAAAATCACCGAGCACCCTGCTCAGCGCCCGACCACTGCTCTCCTTTATGACAGATGCACCCCGGTTCATTACCCTCTCAGCAAATGAAGGTGTCTGTGTTCCTTCTGTTTGAGCCTATTACAAAGAAAGTCACAACAGACCTGCATACAGATTTCTCTGTGAAAGCAAGTTCTCAATTCTCTTTTTATATTTTATTTGGGAGCCACACCTGGTGGTGCTGAGGGCTTACTCCTGTCTCTGTGCTCTGGAATCACTCCTGGCAGTGCTCAGGGGACGCTCTACAGTACCAGGCATTGAACTAGGGTTGGCTGCATGCCAGGGAAGTACCTTAGCCCTTAATAGATCTTCAGCCCCTCAACTTCTTAAACTCATCTCATCAGGCCAGCCCACCTCAGGAGACTCCTTGCTTTCCCACAACGACCCAAGGACACACACATATTCAGCATCTCCAGCTCCTGACCCCCCCTCAGGCTTCATGCCCACTTCCCACACAGAAACATTTGTTCTTGCAGCCCTGCTGTGTCTTTCCCTGAGGCTACATGCCACCCTCCAGGACAATGACATTTCTTACCTACTCCCTCCCTGTACACTGTGAGAAACTCAGAGACAAGAACTTGTTTTTGAGGACAATCCACTTTGACACCCTTCGGACCCACCACGGACATCAACTCGCCAAGAGACCTTTCTAAAGCAGCTCACTGACACTGAGAATAGTGCTACGCCAATACTCCCACAGGTCAAGCAGCTTGCTAGCACGTGCAGGGGCCTTCTTCCTCTTCCCAAAAGGAACACAAACGTGAGGAACGAGCCCCATTTAATGAAGAGAATATCAAGGGCCAGAGACAGGAAAGAAATACTTGGTACAGGTCACCAAGATGTGCTGGGACGATGGCTGCTCCACTGTCCTTGAGTCTGGCTGCAGTTCAGAGCGCAGCACCCTCAGTTCCTTTGCTCCCCTGCCCCAGGAGCGTGATTCTGCACGCATCTGCTCTCTTCTCCGAGCCAGCATCGTTTTCTTTCGGGTTCAGTTGTCAGAACACACGCTGCCCCGGCGCTGGCGGCTGGTGGGAAGAGTGCGCGGCACGGGAGAGCACTAACCTCCAGCACGCCCAGCACTGTGTCCAGCTGGTCCTCCCGCAGCGTGATGTTGTTGGAGATCTTCCGCATGGTGTGTATAGACTGCAGGCGCACTTCCTCAATCTCGTCGTTGAACATGTCCACCAGGAAATCCAGGCACTTCTCAGCGAAGGAGGGCGAGGACTGTGCGAGCATGCAGAGCGCCTCCACGGCGGCGATGCGCACCTCTAGGACAATAGAAAAAAGGTCTTTTTCCTCACCCAGGGCCAGCGCAGCCACCTCTGTCCACCTCTGCCTGGGGCAGCCACAGACTGCAGGCTGCCCTAAAAACAAGGAGTGTGAGAAGTGCCACCCACACAGGACCACGTGACATATCCGGCTCTATCAGCAGTACTTAGAAACAAAGCTGTCTCATCTACTGAAATAGTCCAACCATCTTTCACCCGGTAGTGTTAAAAATACCAACAGGACCCGACAAAAACAAGCTGATCCCATTAATCTCATTGAGGGGTGAGACTGGGCAGAGGGACCTGGTTGGCTCTGCAGAGACCACAAGGGTCACTCTGGGCCGAGGGCTCCTGATACTCAGGGCTTGATCTCAGCAGAAGTGCAGAGACTGATCTCTCCACAGCCTGGAAAATGACCCCAATAACTTTCCTGCACCTCAACTATCTCCAATGCTCATGAAAACAAGGTTTGTCCCCTACCAGAACTGTGAGACTAAGTAGGTAGAGGCAAACTGCTTGGGGTCTGTTAGCCATGGCATAACAACTGGTCTCCAAAGAACCCTGGAAAATGACGCAGGTCTTCTACCTGAGCTTTGGATGCTCAAGCCAAGCCAACGCAGGAAGCATTCCACAAATCCACTCACAGCATTCCTGAACAGAGCATAGATAAGACAAGGTTGGAGTAACAACCTGTGACTGAGTGAAAGCGTGTGGCCAGTGCTGGTTGTCAAGTGCAGAAAAATGCAGAACTGCTGCTAGGGACAGTGCTCAGGAGGCTTCCACACATGCTTGTTTCATTCAGGGGTTCCCACCTGGTTCTGACACAAAATGTAGTTTCAGAAAGTAAAACAGTCTCCAGTATTTAAGTTAAAACTCACATATATTAGGCTGGAGTGCCAATACAGGGGCTAGAGTTCCCAAGCCTGTCAGGTGTGATCTCTGAGCACATAGCTACGAGTAAGCCCTGAGCACTGCTGGATTGCCCAAAAGCAAACAAAAACCCAAAACAAGTAAAATACACACACACACACACACACACACACACACACACACCTCCCACTATATTTATCAAAGGTGAAAAGGTGAGAACAAGTGAGAACTGTTCCTTTATAGCAAGCATCTCACTATAGCAGGAAGAAGGAGAGAGGACAAAGAGAGTGGGGACAACACAGGGTAAGGTGAAGGGAAGCAGACACTGGTGGCAGATGTAGTGCTGGAATGTTCTTTGCATAAAAACTGACATTATCTATACTGCAAACTGTGGTGCCTAAATTATTTTTTAAATAAAAAAAGCAGAGACACTACACACAGAAAGAGAGAAAATTCAGATTTTTCTTGATATTAATTGTTTTTCATCAGTAGGACTTTCTCTATAAGATGTAACTTTTGGGGGCTGGAGCGACAGCACAGCAGAGAGGGTGTTTGCCTTGCATGCAGCCAACCCAGGTTCGATTCCCAGCATCCCATATGGGCCCCTGAGCACTGCCAGGGGGAATTCCTGAGTGCAGAGCCAGGAGTAACCCCTGTGCATCGACGGGTGTGACCCAAAAAGCAAAAAAAAAAAAAAAAGATGTAACTTTTGTTTTGTTTGTTTGCTCTGGGGTAACATTCATCTGTGCTCAGGGCTCACTCCAGGTAGGGCTCAGGGGACCATACACAGAGCAGGGGATCGTTCCAAGACAAGTACCTAAACCCTGTACTATCACACTGGCCCTCATAAAATTTAATTTAAAAGGTGTGCCCGCTAAGAATTACAAGTCAAGATGGACCCACATGTGGAGAGTGCTGGCACTCCTGCAGCATAAGCCAGGCTGTCACACTGACTCATGGGGAGTCTTGCAGGGGAGCTTCTGAGAGCAGGAAGCAGCCACTGATGCTCCAATCACAGGCAAAAGAAGTCTTGCCTTTTGTTCTCCCCATAGCACAGCTATCAGTGGGTTAATTAATTAGTTAAATCATTTCTGCAATACTTTACGGAAAGGTGAAAATTTATGACAGTTCCTGAAGGGTTCAGAGTCAAGAAAAAGGATGGGTAATGTTAGGACGGGGAAAACAACAATCTTCTGGTGCCTGAGTAAATGTGATCGGACCCTAACCTTAACTTAGGACCCTACTCCTAACTTTCTGCTTAGCACTGACACTATGAAGATGAGCAAAAGAAGACAGTCCCTAAGCTTATAGGCAAGAAAAACTGAGTTAGAACGTGCTAACTGTACAGTCGAAAAGCTCAGGTATGTAAAACACTCCAGAACCTGCACAGATCAAACAAACCCAGAGGCTGCTTTCCAGAGAAGAACCAACACTCACCCTTACCCCACTCTGCCACCCCACCCCCACAAAAAAGCTATGCTTGAAGTCGGCTTAGCCAAGAGAAAGGAGGAAAGCCTTTACAGGAAGAGTAACCACATGTACAAGTCAAGCAGGGAACTACACGTATGTATGATACTATGATGAAGTCCATAGCCCGTGAGATAAGGCTCCCAGCAATGTGTCCCTGAAACCCTAGTTTATCCATGATTCTATAAACATGAAGTTTGCTAGACCCAATGCCAGTGACAACTTAATTGATTTTTCAAAATTAAGATCCCTAGATACAGTGTATAATTGAAGCACACCAATATTAAGAATGAAAAAATATGACTGAAGAAGCTAAACAAAGCAAAGGAGTTAAAATAAGGCTGAGAGGTGGGGCAAAAGTCACCCTCAGGCCCAGCAGCTTCCGGGGGTCACTGCAGGGACTATGTGGTGCTGGGTCAGGCCTCTCTCAGGAACCACAACTGTTTGTTCCCTTGGCCAAGAATACTGAGTCCAAGAGTTGGGAGATGATGCACACAGTTGAGGACAAGCCTCACATGTGTGGACACCTGAATTCAATCCCGGACACCACCATGCCCCCCATGAGACTGCAGGTGTGGCTCTGGGGACCCTGACAGTGAGTGGGTACCACAACAGTAAATATGAATAAATAAGGTCCTGCATGAATGTTGTTTGGGTACTGCCTAAGATCAAAGTATGACATGAACTGACTGCTTTCCTGAGGAAAATTCAAGAAATTTATGAGTATGATAATGTTCCATATTCAACAAAGTGAAATGTACATTTGATATCTTATCAAAAATTACCATACCAAGCAAGCATAGAAGCAAGAATAGATAATCCATAATAAGGCTAAACATCAATCCAGGGGGCAGAGCAACAGTACACTGAGTACAATAGTTTCCCTTCACACAAATGACTGGGATTGGATCCTCAACACCACATATAGTCCCCCAAGCACCACCAGGAGTGATCCCTGATCACAGAGCCAGGAATAAGCATTGAGTACTGCTGAGTGTGGCCCAAACACCACCCACACCCCATTAAAAAAAATAATAATAAAAACCAAATCAGAAACCACACTGACACAGCAGACAATGACATTAATACAATTACTGTAAATGTGCTTTCATAGCTAAATTATGGAAAGATGTGGAAAATGCTGAAGATTCCAATCCTAATTAAAACTTCCAAAGAGGAAAAGTACAGTGTCTGAAATGAAAACACACGGAATGGAATAAACAGCAGATTAGAGTGGACCAAAGGAAGATTAGAGAATTAGAAGGCAAAGCAAAAGATTAATCCCAATAGATGCAAAGAAAGAAAAAAAAAGGGGGGGGCGGGAATACAAGGAATGTCTTGTGAGCTGTTATAGTATTACACAATGCCAACAGTAAGGAATGTCTTATGAGCTGTTATAGTATTAGACAATGCCAACAGTCTAATATACTATAATACTACACTGGAGTAATTAAAAGAACATGAGATCAGGGGCTGGAGCAACAGCACAGCGGGTAGGGTGTTTGCCTTGCAGGCAGCTGACCCAGGTTCGATTCCCAGCATCCCATATGGTCCCCTGAGCACCGCCAGGAGTAATTACTTAGTGCAGAGCCAGGAGTAACCCCTGTGCACCGCCGGGTGTGACCCAAAAAGAAAAAAAAACAAGGAATGTCTTGTGAGCTGTTATAGTATTAGACAATGCCAACAGTCTAGTATACTATAATACTACACTGGAGTAATTGAAAGAACATGAGATCCGGGGCTGGAGCAATAGCACAGTGGGTAGGGCGTTTGACTTGCAGGCAGCCGACCCGGGTTCAATTCCCAGCATCCCATATGGTTCCCCCAAGCACAGCCAGGAGTGATTCCTGAGTGCAGAGCCAGGAGTAACCCCTGAGCATTGGTTGCGTGTGACCCAAAAAGAAAAAAAAAGGAAAAAAAAAAAGAACATGAGATTAAATGTGTATTAAAGGATAATGGTTGGGGGCTGGTGCAACAGCACAATGGGTAGGGCTGCCTTACACGCAGCCGATCCAGGTTTGATTCCCAGCATCCTATATGGTCCCCTGAGCACTGCCAGGGGTAATTTCTGAGAGCAGAACCAGGAGTAACCCCTGAGCATCGCCAGGTATGACCCAAAAAGAAAAAACAAAAAAAAAGAAACAAAAAGGATAATGGTCGAAGATTTTCCAACGATGCCTCCCATAGAACCAATCAGATTCAGAAACCGTAGGCAAAAGAAACATGGAGATACGTGAGACACACCACACGGCCAGGGAGAGCACCACTTGCTGGGCACAGGGGACCAGGGGACCAGGACCTCTGCAGCAGGAGGTCCAGGCTCCACCCTGGAATCTCATGGTCCTCCAACGCCAAGCCAGGATTTTTCCCTAGGCGCTGACCAGCAAATATTGCCCCCAAACAGAACGAACAAGAGAAAACAAACACACACACACACAATTAACTCATTTAAAACAGGCAACAAGGGGGCTGGAGAGAACAGTACAGCAGGTCAGTGTGTGCCTTGCACAGAGCCTGCCAGAGTTTGATCCTAGGCACCACTGAACCCCACCAGAAGTAAACCCTGAGCACTGATGGGTGTGGCCCCCAAAACAACAAACAAAAAATCAGGAGACAAAGGGAAAACCTTCAAAGCAGCTAGAGAAAAGATAAGGCATCATTTATAGAACAAAAAATTTTGCATGACAGAAGCCTTCTCAACAGAACCATGCAAGCAGAAAAACAAGAATTATCATCATTCAGAGATTGGGTAAAGGGGGCCTGAGAGACAGTATAGGAGGCAAATGCCTTGTAGGCAGTTACAGAGTCTGCAAGCCTTGTTTGAATCCCTAACACTACATAAGATTCCTTGAGCACTGCCATGAATCACTCCTGCGCATAGAGCCAGGAATAGCCCCTCAGCTCTACCAGATGAGTCTGTAACACCACGCACATCCCCACAAACCTACCGAAAGAAAAGAAGACTAGGGGAAACATTTATCAAAGGGTTGGAGAAATAATACAGTTCTAAGGCAACTTCTTGGCACATAGCTGACTCCTGTTCTTTCTCTGGCACTATATGGTCCCCAAAACCCCACCAGATGTGACCCTTAGCACAGAGCCAGAGGTAGGTCAGAGTAGAAGCAGGGGTATACACAGGCCAGTTCTGTGCCCTCACCCTCTACTAATGCTGGCCATTCAGAGAAAGTCCCCCTCCTTTCGCTGGAGTATGATGGTGCTGGGCATCATGCCTACGATGGATAGTGCTACAGACTGCATCCAGGGCTCACACATGTAGCATGTGTTCTGCCACGGAGCTATGGTCCTGTTTCAGAAAACACTTTTCAAAATGGAAATGGGTGGCTAGAAAGATAATACAGAGGGTAGAGTGTGTGCCTTGCATGCAGCTAACCCAGGTTCGATTCCTGGCAGCCAGAAAGTCCTCCAAGCACTACCAGGAGTAATTCTTGAGTGTACAACAGAAGTAACTCCTTGAGCATCACTAGGTGTGGCCCCAAAACAAAGAATTTTAAAAACAGAAAATGGGATCTTAGATTTGTGAGGTTGCAGGCATGATAGCCTGTGAAGCAAAATCAGAGTCAGTCTTCTGGGTTTTAGTTCTACAAAGACACCTGGTAACCCTGGGTGTAGTCCTGTGTCTCTTACTAGGGTGACTATTAACAAATAATCAGGATCAGCAATATCAATTTTTACTACAAACAATTAGGTGCTTACACTAAAGGGTTGTTTTAGGTAAATGCATGATTTAATTCTTACGACTTAGAAACTCTATTGGCTTTGTTTTATAAAAATGCTGGAATATGAATCCAGATTGACTGAACCCTACTTTCTTGCATATAACCAATAAATCATAGCTCAGCCTTTTCTGTACTAAATGGAAAGAGCAGGCAGCAGAGAATGACCATAAGCCCAACTGAGGTATGAAACGATGCCTGGCACCCATGTGGTCACTCTTCCACTCACTACACCCCCTCCCAGTAGTGGCACGGCTGTCACCAGGCAGTCACACTCACCGTACATCTCATCTTCCAGTCCATGAACAAAAGCTCCGCAGGCTCCAGACTCAATCAAGTTCACAGCCCCCGTGTCAATTTCTTCCTTGGGTGCATCATCTCCCCATTTCCGGCCACTGGAAAACTCCCCTGAACTATAAAGCTCCTTGGCGCGCTCATGGGCTGTCCGCTTCCTCTGCAGGAAACAGTCACAGTGACAAGAGGATTCTCAAGGGAACACAGAAGTGAGCTCGGGAGTCCAGGAAGGGAGACAGTAAGGCTGTTTTGAGAGTCACGCTTAACAAACTCCTTGAACCCAAGCAAAGGGACATACACTCACTTCAAGAGGGGACTCCGATGTCCATCAGGCAGAGAGAGGACTAGCAGAGCAAGCTGTGTTGAGCAGATGAGTGTTATGTTTGCGGAGGCCACATTGGGAAAGGAGACAGGAGAGCACCATCCCTGATAGGTAATTCCCAGGCTAAGGAAAAACCCCTGTCAGACCCAGTTAGAAGTCAGTCTCCGCTAGGGAACACTCCACCTGAGCAGCAGGGTTATGGAGAAACTACTTTCTGGCAAGTTCGTTTTCTACACAGACTGCCTAAGGGGTCAGGGCTAGTCAATTAAGGTCAGTATCTAGTGCACTTGCCAATATATGAACTGACATCCTGCTTGATAATTCTCTAGTATGATGCCACAATCAACGGCTGATCATCTAACGTGTGCAGATGAAACAGCATCTGAGCTGATAAGAACGTGAGTCAGGTCTTAAAAACCTTTCAATGGAGAATGGGCACTGGTGGTGGGATGGGCACTCGATCATTGTATAACTGAAATCTAAGCACAACAACTTGTAAGTCTACAACTGTACTTCATGGTGTTTCACTAATAAAAAATAAATAAATAAATAAATAAAAATAAAAACCCTTCAATGACCTACACCTCACTCATCAAACCATGTTCTTTAACACACCTTCAACCAGATGCCAAATACTTAAATCAACCTAAGAAAACGATACTGTTTTATGAATCAGAACGGTCAATTCCTCAACGACCCCTACACTTCAACACTTCAGTTTAGAGAATAACCGGAAAGACCTACTATACCTGAAGACAATGCTTTTAGAGTGACAATCCTGGGAAAGTCAGGGGAAACTAAATGTATAAAAAGGGACTGAAAAAGTACACACATAGGCCAGAGACAGATCATTCAAAATGTTTTACATGTGAATATCTGGTATCTGACCCCAGAAGACTAAAAAATCATAGTCAAACAATGAGACAATAATTATAATACGCATTAAGGACTGGAGAGATAATACTGCTGTATATCTAAGATAAGTTGCTGGCCCTGCACACAGTCAACCCTAGTTTTACCCCCAGCACTACATGTGGTTCACTGAGCATTGCCAGGAGTGATCCAGGAACACACAGTCAGGAATAAGTCCTGAGCACAGTTAGGTAGAACCAAAACAAAAAACAAACAAAAAAAACACAAAACAAACAAACAAACAAACAAAAAAACCCAAAACTACACAAGTCTGCTGCATGAATCTACCTCAAGAACAAAAGTCATTAATTTGAACTATCAATAGCTTGGATTTAGAAACAACTCAATATCCAAAGACAGATGAATGGATAAACCTGTAGCAAATATATACAATGAAATAATAGAATTCTATGGTGCAGCTATAAGAAAATATGAACCTTATAGTGTGCAGTAACCTGGATGGAACTGAAAGGCATCATGTTAAGTAAAACAAGGCCGCGGGAGGGCAAATAGCAGACACTTTCATACTTTCACTTCTGTAAGGTGATAGAGAAACAAAACAAAGGCATAAGCAGTATTGAATGATGACAAACCTTCAGTCTTGAATTACAGAACTGAGATTAGCATGTAGTGGGGGGAGAGGGATGTGGACTAGAACTGGCATAATGATCGTGGCAGAGGGTCTTGGGCAATTTGCTGGTGGTGAAAATGCGGTAATTGTATACCAAAACGAAATAGATTGATTGGGGCCAGAACCATAGTATAGCACATAGGGCACGCAGCCAACCCAGGTTTGATACCCGGCATCCTATATAGTCCTGAGAAACACCTGAAGTAATGAAGACTGCAGAGCCAGGAGTAACTCCTGAGTATCACTGGCTGTGACCCAAAAAGGCAAAATATAAGAAAAAACACCCCAAACCAAAACCAAATAGATTGAAACTATGACTATACCACAATTGAAAAAAAGGCTAGAGGGATAGATATGAAAATGACTGACACTGTTAGAGAAGTGTTGATAAGGGCTGAGTGTATTCCTTTTTATTCTATTTTCTCCCTTACTTTTAGTTTTTGGGCCACACCAGTGGGTGCTCAGGGATCACTACCTGTGGGCTCGGGGACCATCCATGGTACTGGGTAAGCTGCGTGCAAGGCAAACACCCTACCCGCTGTATGATCACACCAACCCGCCCTTTACTTTCTATTTATCAGAAGACCTGTAACTCAGGGCTGGAGCACAGTATCAAGTGAATGGTTTTATTTTGTATTTATATTTTTGGTTTGAGAAGTCACACGTGGCGATGCTCAGGGGTTACTCCTGGAAGTGCTTAGAGAAAGATATGGGATGCCAGGGATGATGCCCTGAGCCTTGCTGGGAATGATTCCTGAGCACAGTGCCAAGAGTAACCTCTGAGCATGCTGAAAGAAAAAACAAAACAAAGCCTTAGTAAAGTAACATTGTCTGGTTCCTGGTGCTGATAATCTAAAATCATCTATCCTCGTACACAAAGTTAACAAATACCCAGACTGCAGAATTAAATAAATCAACAAAACCTGGAAAATGGCTACATGAATGTCCTTATAAAAACCCAGTTTAAGTGACAAAAAAATCAAAGTTACTCTCAGGTCTGACATCAGCTTCTTGTCCAACGTCTGCTCCAGGAAGTGAGAACTGACTTGCTCCATGGAGCCCTGAAAAGAAAGAACCCACAACAAATCACCTTCAACTCAAAGTCTGCAAGTCAACTGAGACGATAAAGATGCTCCTCTTGCTAGGAAAGACAGATGCCTCTGGATTCGAATCAGGAAATTAAGAAACAGCAGCAGCCATCACAGTCTCTAGAAAGTTAGTCCCTTGAATTACCCCATGTGCTTTATACATGTTAGTTCAGGTAACCCTCGGTGCAATCCCAGGATAATTAGACTGAATACAATCCTTCAAATGGTAAGGAACATTATTACACCCATTTCATATGCAGGAAAATGATGTTACATGAGGGATGAAGTGTCATTCAGCTACACAAAGCCATTCACCATGGTGCTAGGACACTAACCCAGGCAACAGAACCTTTTCCCCTTCCTTTTTTTTGGGGGGGTCCACACCCAGCAATGCTCAGGGGTTACTCTTGGCGGTGCTTGGGACCAAATGGGATGCTGGGGATTGAACCAGGGTCGATTGTGTGCAAGGCAAACACCTACCCACTGTACTATCGCTCTGGCCCCAGAACCCTTTCCCTTAACCCAAAAGTTCCCAAACTTGCTTGGTCTATTTTTCACTTTTCAGGAAAAAAAAAAAAAACACCCCACCACTCAGTGCCCACTGGCAGATGGCCTCCTTGGGGCTAGAGAGGGTAGAGAGGGTAGAGAGGTCTATCAGCAGGCACTAGCGCTGGCCTTGCACACAGATAGCCCCCAGAGTCGCATCAGCAGTGAGCCCTGAGCATAGCTGCGTGTGGCCCAAACCCCCCCCCACAAAAAAGGTACAAAACAAAACCCCACAGAAAAGAGGGAGGGGGCTCTCCGGCATGGCCACGACTCCAGAGCACAGAAACCTATCTCTTAACTATCTAACTTTTAATAGAAATACTTCCAGGGTTAATAAGTAAAATAGCAGAAATCCAAAACCACGCGGCCTCTATCGCGGCCGCGCGACATCATTTAATTCTTAAACCCAGCTGTAGAAAGCAAATCCTTTCACAACGATTTTTCAGCATGTCTGATTTGGGGGGGGGGGGGGGGGGTGTCGTAAACTCTAAATAATAATGGTGCATCTTTTATCGAAACAATGAATCTAGTCAAAGTAGATAGAGTGTTAACTAGAACTCATCTGCCTCACAGGAATTGGGAAGGGTGGGAGGTGGGGTTCTATTGGGGTTTGCGGTAAAAAATAAGTATTGGTAAAGGGAAATGTGTTTGATATTTACATGACTGAGACCTAAACCTGAAAGCTCTGTAACTTTTCCCACAGTGATTCAATAAATAAATAAATTATATAAAAAAAAACCTATTTGACAAAAAAAAAAAAAGAAAAGAGGGAGGGAGGGGGGACAGAGGGAGGGAGGGAGGGAGGGAGGGAGGGAGGGAGGAAGGAAGGAAGGAAGGAAGGAAGGAAGGAAGGAAGGAAGGAAGGAAGGAAAAACTCAACCTTCTTTCTTTAAAAAGACAAAACACAGCCACGACCCTATGACTGGCCTTGAGGCGACTGCCTAGTTTAGTAAGGGGGGAGGGTGCACATGCCAAGAGTTTCAGTAAAATCTCCTCCAATCCTTTTTTCCTGCTCTTTGCATTCATGTGTTTGTTCATCCAATGAGACAGGTATTTACTTAGCAATTACTTGCCACAATTATCAGAAGCAAGAACAAATACCAAATGTGAGAGACATCAATTCCATACCCATATGACCATCACAGGCTAGTAAGAAAAAAGGGAAAAAGTAAGGTGCTACCTGCACTGAGAGTACAAATGGTACAATCCACGTTTACAAGGAGTGCTTGGGAATTTGAAGCACCAGCAAGGGGAGGGGCAAGGAGAGGCATGTTCGGGGAACTGGACAGCACAGACAGGCAGGCTCCACGTAGGCCATACACGGCCTGATCTCTCATAGGAAGGAGTTTGTCTCCTATATAACTAAATAGTCTCTATTAAATATGAGTTCAACAATTAACAAAATAGTTAAATTATGCAGTTAAAACTGACTACTCCTTCTAATCAAAGTAGATAGAGTGTTAACTAGAATTCATCTGCCTCGCAGGCATTGGAAGGGTTGGGAGGGAGGGTATGTTGAGGTTCTTGGTGGTAAAAAATAAGTACTGGTGAAGGGAAATGTGTTTGATGATTGCATGACCGAGACTTAAACCTGAAAGTTTTGTAACTTTTCCCACAGTGATTCAATAAATAAATAAATTTTTAAAAAAGAGCACGCACACACACAAAAAACCACTGACTACTCCTAATAACCTCATGAACTAGGTATATTATCATCATGTTTTAAGTGAGAAATTGAAGACCACTGCTAATATGGAAGAAAAGTAGATGTATACACCATAATGATCACCTTCTCAGGTGTCATTCACCTGGATGGAGTCAATGAGAGCAGAGACTCCTGCTAGGAGGCTGAAGGAGCAAGTCCTAGACATGAAGAGACAACACTAGTGTGGCCTTTCAGACCCACTGAATAAATACACAGCTGCTTAGACAGTCACCTTCACTCCAACCATTGAGTTATATATTCTTTGGAGGCATCTTTTCTTTTTCCTTATCATTTAATAAAGTGGATTTAAAAAAAAAAATCACTTACTTGAGTCACCAAGAGATAGAGTTACAAAGCTGTTCATGGTTGAGTTTTAGTCACACAATGTTCCAACACACATCCCTTCACCAGTACACATTTCCCCCACCTCGCAGCCTGCCTTAATAGCAGACATCCCCACATCCCCTCTCCCTTCTTTTAATTAAGCTCTGTGGTTTACAGTACTGTAACTAAAGGGTGTCATGCATATCCCTTTACCTGCTTTCAGCACCCAGTTCTTGTTCAGAGTCATCATTTCCAACTACCATTGTCATAGTGGTCCCGTCTCTGTCCTAACTGCACTTCCACACCTCGTTTCAGTTGTGGCAAATTTCCTACCAAGGACCAGTCCTCCTGGCCATAATTTCTATTGTCTTTGGGTATTTGTCTCTTCCTATGTATATTTTTTATATTCCACAAATTAGTGTGATTATTCTGTCTTTCATCCTCTGACTCATTTCATTCAACATGACACTCTCCATTGTTCATTCATTCGTGTGTGAATTTCACTTTTACCTAACAGCTGTGTACTATTCCACTGTGAAGATGTATCATAGTTTCTTTATCCAGTCATATGTTCTCAGGCACTTAGGTTGTTTCCAGATTCTGGTTATTGTGAACTGTTTTACAGTGAACATAGGAATGCGGATAACTTTTGTACATTATGTTTTAGGGCCTCTAAGGTATATTCCCAGGGTTGGTATTGTTAGGTCAGATGGAAGCTCAATTTCTAGTTTTTTGAGGAATGTCCATATTATTTTCCAAAATGTCTGGAACAGTTGGAATTCCCACCAATGATGAATGAGTCTCTTTCTCCCTGCATCCGTGCCAGCACTGGTTGTGTTTTTGAATGCGAGGACCTATTTTCTTGCTAAAGTTTTATCTCTTCTACATCTTTAGGAGAGTAGATGTACTGTTATGACATGACCAGTTTCAAAAGCACTCTGACATGGTACCACTTTGATATGGTACAGATATAGAACAGTGGTATTTTTTTACATAAACTTGGGCCAATATCAAATCTTACATTTAAAAATCCAAAATATAAACTTTATAAGAAAACAAACTTCATAAGAAATAAACATTGTTTTAGAGCTCCCTTTCTTTTTAGATTTAGCATTCAAATTAGCTCTTTTTGTTGTTGTTGTTGGGGGTGGCCAGGCCTGGTTCTACTCGCTCTGGGATCATTCAGGTGATGCTCAAAGAGACCCAGGGACTGAACACTGCTCAGCTGAATGCCAGTCAAAAGCCTATCTTTTATATTATCTCTCTGGCCCCTGAAATTAGTTTTTTAAGGGAAATGAATTTTTTTCCTACAAAAATTTAAAATTTTAATAAATTCACAGTAAACTGCTCCAATCCAAAGTCTAATTTTCTGCTCCACTGTCTTCAGAAGAATTCTCTGAGACACATCATCTCAGAGGGTTACTATTATACTCAGGCCTAAACAGTACTTATCATTTGTGACACATTTTCAGTATTATCTAAGAATGGCTGAAACTTGCGACTTAAAAATCTACAAATACCATGGACCCTACAACACACCAATGCTCCGGAAAAATAACAAAGTGGGGCAGAATCATGTGCCAACCTGGTTTCCAGATCCAGTAGCACTTTGCCCCTAAGCACCTCTGTGTGTGGCCCTAGAGGCCCATGAGAACCCCTAGGTCCAAGCAGCAGGACATCAGGGCACCCTCAGAACCACAATCCACCACTGGCCAGGCTGGCTGTGGAAGGTCTCTGAGAAGCAGCACAGTCCCTGTGATAACGCGTAGGGCTGGGTGCTCCTTAAAGGGCTGGAGTGCTTGTGTTGCACTTGTGAAGCCCAGTCTGACCCCTGCACAGTCCCCAACACATATCTGTGACAGAATGACAAGAGGACCAGAATATTAACTGACCCAGCAGCCTATCAGTTCCTGAAGACACAGGCTGCACTTAGAATCGCAAAACCAAACTTTTTTTTTAAAAAAAGCTATTAAATCGTTAAGAAATGAGGAGGGAGAGAGAGTACAGCAGGTCCCACCTTACTCGCACACACAACCAAGCAAAACTTACCATGTTTGAAGTTGTTTCATTAGTCTAATAAAGCAAGGATAAGCTGGCAAGGCGAGACACAGTAACAACAAAGTCTCCAATGGAGACATTACTGGGCCCGCTCGAGCAAATCGAAGACCAACGGGAGGACAGTGTTTGTTGTTGTTGACAAGCTGGCAAGGTCCATAGTGTATTTCTGGTCTTACATATGTCAATTTAATGAATAGTTCCTGCCACTAAATTATTTCCTATTACTTAATGAAAGGGCTGGAGTGATAGCATAGCGGGCAGGGCATTTACCTTGCACGTGGCTGACCAGGGTTCAATTCCTCCACCCCGCTCGGAGAGCCCCACAAGCTACCAAGAGTATCCCGCCGAAACGGCAAAGCCTGGCAAGCTAACCATGACGTATTCAATATGCCAAAAACAGTAATAAAAAGTCTCACAATGGAAACGTTACTGGTGCCTGCTCAAGCAAATCGATGAACACCAGGAGGCCAGTGCTACTTAATGAAAAAGACTAGTAACCACCTCTCAATTTTATAACTTCTTTGATTTTGAGCAGGGCACCGAGCAGCAACCCTTCCTGCAAGGCTGATGGTCATGCTACTGCTCGTATCAGAGATAGGAAGTATCAGTAGCACTGACTTACAAATGATGTGACCATGAGGCCTACCATGATACAATCAAAGCAAGACCATGGGCAATAAACAAATAAAAACACATATTCAGAATAAAATCAATAACAACTGGCTCTGAATAAATGCTAACTTTATGGATCAGCAATTTAATCTCTAAACAGAAAGGACTGAAATCTTCTAAGTTCCTCATTATTTTGTGGAACTGCTTCACACAGATCTTTGTAGTCAAAGGACAGGTTCTAAGACATGGTCTATACCCAGCTCTGTGACCATCATAGTCCTGGTCAAAGGTCTCAGCCACCATCTCACCAAGACTGAGAGAACTGGAGGCCGGGAGGCTGGTGGTGGGGAGGAGTGTATATCCCAAAACAAACTCAGACTTTCTCACTGTGACTTTGTTTTGTTTGGGGGCCATATACTGAGGTGCTCAGGGCTTACTCCTGGCTCTGTCTCAATGATCACTCATAGAGGTGCTCAGGGAACCACATGTGGTGACAAGGACTGAATCTTGTCAGTCACATGCAAATCAAGTGCCTTAATGCTTATACTATCCCTCTGGCACCTTTTACAGTAACATTCATGTAATTTTTAGATTCATACATATACTTGTATACTACAGCTTCCCCACCACTCTATACAATATAGAACTTTATACTGGCTTTTTTTTTTTTTTTTGCATTTTGGGTCACACCAAGCGATGCTCAGAGGTGACGCCTGATTCTGTACTCAGGGGATCACTCCTGGCTGTTGTCGGGGGACCATATGAGATCTTGGGAACTGAACTCAGATGCAAGGCAAGCACTCTACCCACTGTACTATCGCTACAGCCTGAACTTTACACTCTCTTAACATTTTCATGGATGACATTTCATTTGAGCATCCTAAAAACCATATGCATGAAAGCTATTAAGAAAGACATAAACCACATAACAGATGAAGATACTGAGAATAAAATGAATATGTCCAAGAAAATACAATATAAGGTAATGCTGAGTATTAAACAACACTCATGCAGGATCTGAATGTAGGCCAAAGCTTGATCCCCAGCCACACACAGTCTCTTGAGTACCAGCATGAGTGACTCCCAAGTACTGAGCCAGAAACAGTCCCTGCACCCCACCAGGTGTGGTCCCCCCAAAAAACCAAAAAAGCAATAACAATTAAATTTTTAAATTTACAAATGTAATATGAGGCATAACAGTGTCTACGGTTAAGTATATGAGGCATAACAGTGTCTACGGTTAAGTATAAGGTTACAAGCCAGGAGTTTTGGGTCTGAATCCCGATCTACAATATCCTCACATCCTCAGCAACTAAAAATCTGAGTAATGGCATGCACTGCTAGATAACTGTGAAAAGTAAAAAAGAAAACAGCAATGGATTCCTAGAATAGTATCTAGGCCTTTAGAGGCATTTAGTAAATAGTTGCACCCACTTTATTATTCACGGTCTTTTTCTCTATGCCTTGTCTATCCCATAGGCAAACAATATTACTTAGGATTATATATTAAATTCTTCTAATTTGGGGCTGGACAGGTGGCTCAACGGAATGAGCAGAGGCTTTGCATTCAAGAGACCTGGGTTCAATACCCAATATAAGGTCACTGAACCAGAGAACTGTGGTTCCACAAGCAGTACGGGCAGGGGTCCCGAAGCGAAAGGGCTAGTAGTTCCTGAGCACTGCAAGTTGGGGCACAAAAACACAGAAAGAATTCTTTCTAGTTCTAAAAAGCCACTTCCCCACACAACAGTAAGTCATTTCTTTCTAAACTAAGCAGGGTGTCTGCTAGTTGCTAACACCTGCCTTTCTCTTTCTATCTCCAAAAGATCACTCTAGCAAGCAAAGTCCTACACGCTCATCAAACAACACAACTTACCAAAAGCTTTGCAGCTTGGACGCGGACCACCCAGGAGCCATCACTGACCATGTGACAAATTTTTCCAAATGCATCATCGACTAGGCGAATTTCTTCATTAGATGAAGGAATTGGGACAATGCTAAATTAAAAGACAAGAAACCACAAGTAATGAAACATGAGCCAAAAGCTATAATTTCAAGAAATTAAGAAAGATCAGTGCATACTGGCACAAATAGAAAAGATCACTGAATAATCAAAAACCAAGAATGAGAATTTGTATTTCTCATTTCTCCCACAGCTCTGCGAGTATGAGCCTATATCTTTTGTTCCAGACAAGATTTCAGTGTCTTGAATAAAAATTCTTAATTTACCAAAGCTGGAAAGCTCCAGGAAGATACCAACAGTAAACAACCAGAGTATTTCATGTAAGTTTATTCTCTCCTATAATCGCATCACTGTCAGTGTAGTGAGACTCAAGAAACAAATCAATCTGGTTATTAAAAGAAGCTATTTCAGAGGCTGGGGCGATAGCACAGTGGGTAGGGCGTTTGCCTTGCACACGGCCAAACCGGGTTCGATTCCTAGCATCCCATATGGTCCCCTGAGCACCACCAGGAGGAATTCCTGAGTGCATGAGCCAGGAGTAACCTCTGTGCATTGCCAGGTGTGACCCAAAAAGCAAAAAAAAAAAAAAAAAAAAAAAGCTATTCCCAATTAGTGTGTGTGTGTGTGTGTTGATGTTGTTGTTGTTGTTGCTGCTGTTGTTGTGATTTCAGCAGGCAGATGTGAAGAGGCAAAAATTGTTTTTCCTGATATCCAGGATATACAAAATACTGGTTAAACTCCACAAGAAGAAAACATCCAACCCCATCCAAAAATGGGGCAATGAAATGAACAGAAACTTTCTCAAAGAAGAAATCCGAATGGCAAAAAAGCACATGAGAAAATGCTCTACATCATTAATCATCAGGGAGATGCAGATCAAAACCACAATGAGATACCATCTCACACCTCAGAGACTGGCCCACATTCAAAAGAGCAAAAGCAACCGATGCTGGCGCGGATGTGGCGAGAAAGGGACACTCCTTCACTGTTGGTGGGAATGTCGACTGGTTCAGCCCTTCTGGAAAACAGTAAGGACGCTTCTCCAAAAATTAGAAATTGAGCTCCCATTTGACCCAGCAATACCATTCCTGGGAATATATCCCAGAGAGGCAAAAATGTATAGTCGAAGTGACATCTGCACTTGTTTGTTCATTGCAGCACTCTTTACAATAGCCAGAAACTGGAAGAAACCTGAATGCCCAAGAACAGATGACTGGTTAAAGAAACTTTGGTACATCTACACAATGGAGTACTATGTAGCTGTTAGAAAAGATGAAGTCATGAAATTTACATACAAGTGGTACAACATGGAAAGTATCATGCTAAGCGAAATGAGTCAGAAAGAGAGGGATAGACATAGAAAGATTGCATTCATCTGGGGGATATAAAGTAACAAAATATGAGATTAATACCCAAGAATAGCTGAGATCAGCACCAGGAGGATTACTCCATAGCTTAGAGGCCAGCCGGGCATTCTAGAGGAAAGGGCAGCTCAGATAGAGAAGGGAGCACCAAATAAAGGGTGTTTGGAGGATCCTCCCAGGAGGGGAGATGCATGTCGAAAGTAGACTATGAACTGAACATGTCTGCCACTCAATGCCTCTTTTGCAGACCACAACACCCAAAAGGAGAGAGAGAACACAGGGGATTGCCCTGCCACAGAGACGGGGGGATGGGGGGATGGGGGTGGGAGGGATATTATCCATGGTGGTGGAAAATGGGCACTGGTGGAGGGATGGGTATCTGATCATTGTATAATTGAAACCAAAGCACAAAAAATTGTAAATCTACAACTTTAAAAAAAATAAAATAAAATAAAGGGGAAAAAAAATAAAAAAAAAAAAAAAAAAAAAGAAGTGAAAATGGAGCTGGAATGATAGCTCAATGGGTAGGGCATTTGTCTTGCATGCAGCCGACCCAAGTTTGATTCCCAGCAGCCCATATGGTACTCCAAGCACCGCCAGGAGTAATTCCTGAGTGCATGAGCCAGGAATATCCCCTGTGCATCTCCAGGAGTGAACCCCACCCCCCAAAAAGAAAAAAAAAACAGAAGTGAAGACAATGAAGGAAGTACGTTAGTGTTGAATACAACTTGGATAAAGAGGTTAAAGCCCTTGATGCATGATTTGTAACACTGAAAGCTCCTTAGATGACACTGGAACATAGGATATATAAAACTCAACTGTGAATGACTTTGTAAGTCATGGTGACTTAAAAACTTTTAAAAACTCTATATATAAGGTATGAAAATAATGCAGATTTTGGTTATCTTTATATGAAAATGTCACCAATTTCACTTTTTCCATTTCTGGGTTGCACCCAGAATACCTAAAAATTCTGACTAGTTTTTTACTCAATATAAAAATCCTAATATTTTCGTTAAATAAATTCCCCTCAAATGTAAAAAAAAAAAAAAAAAAAAAAAAAAAAAATTTAAAAAAAAAAAATTGTTTTTCCTAGAAGAGTTCAATAATCAGTATGAGAATGATTTCATCACTATGGAAAATTTCAAACAGGAAAGCACTAAATAAGGATCGCCATCTCAGATTCACTCAGCTAGTATCTTTGTCTAACATTCACACTAAAATGGACCCCAAACCATTTTAAAAACTGAACAGGGGTGGAGAGATAGGGCGTTTTTCTGGGTTCGATCCCCAGCCCTCCAAACAGTCTCCTGATCATCGCTGGCAGTGATTCCTGAGCACAGAGCCAGGAGAAACCCCTGAGCATTGTCAGGTGTGGCCCCAAAAAACCAATAAATAAACGGGGTGAGATCAGAGACCACTGAGTCCGTCTCTTCCATTCTGAGGAACCAGGAGATGTGCTCAAGCACGTACTTCGAGAGGAGCCAGAGGGAGAACGGAGGTGCTTTCCCAGGCTATAAGAAAGCTCCCGGGGCTGGAGAGCCAGAGCCAGAGCCGGCTTTTCTCCTGCTCAAACTGCCACCCACAACCAGCAAGCAGGCAGGGTATTGCACGGAAGGATGAGAGAATCACTCAGCCAAGAGCTTCCACACACTGACCTTTCGGGGTAGAGCTGACTGAGGACCCAGATGAGCTGGACGGCAGCGCTGCGTACCTGTTCGTAGTCGTCAGACAGCAGCTTGCAGGCCTGTGGACAGGGTTCAGGTCACTGGAGCTGTGCCACAGCCCCTGGGGACACCTGTCTGGCTAAACCTCATGGACCTTCCCCTGCACAGAATTGCTGGCCTGCCAGCTACTCTGGCCCAGCTCTGGCTGTGTATGCACCACCCTAGCCCGCGTCCAGGTCTGGATACAATTCCAGACCGAGAAGCATAACAAATCTGTCTATTCAGCCTGGGAGGGGCTGGGCCACACCCAGAAGCTCTGATCCCAACAGCGGCTTTTCCATCCATAAGATTAAGACAGGAGGGGCTGGAGCTACAGCACAGCAGGTAAGGCGTTTGCCTTGCACGCAGCCGACCCGGGTTCGATTCCCAGCATCTCATATGGTCCCCCGAGCACTGCCAGGAGTAATTCCTGAGTGAAGAACCAGGAGTAACCCCTGTGCATCACCGGGTGTGACCCAAAAAGAAAAAAAAAAAAGATTAAGACAGGAACTTTCAAATGCCAGTCTATCTGCAATCCCCAGCATTCAACACAGGCACAACTCCCAAGCTAAGCTGCCACATGGGCCAGAGCTTTCTGCTGGTCTGAAATGGAAAGTCCTGACTTTACCCACAATCGCATTAACACTCAAAACTTTAAAAACATCCAGAATGATCCATTTCTGAGATTTGTTTCATTTTGGGACCAGCCTTGGTGATGCTCAGGGGTAACTCCTGAGAGAGCTCAGGGACTGAACCCGGATCAGATGCCATTAAGATTAGCACCCCACCTGCTATATTATCTCTCCCTTTCCTCCCTCTCCCCCTCTCCCTCTCTTCCCTCTCCCTTCCCTCCCTCCCTCCCCCTCTCCCCTCTATCTCTCCCTCTCTTCCACTCCCTCCCTCCCACTCTCTCTCCTCCCTCCCTCTCCCTCTCTCTTTTACAAATAGACTTTACAATCACTGAAATACCCTCCTTTATCCCTGTGACCTCTTCAACACTGCTCTCCTCACTTTTGTTTTCTTTCCGCATATTCAATACTCATGATTAAATTGCTTCACCTCAGCTCCCCAACACTGTTGGCTTTAATTCACCACTGGCCCTTGGGTAGGAAGAGTTTAGTCTTCTGACACAGTGGACTGTGAGAGCTTTTCCAGCTCTTCAGGAAATGCTTCCCTCCCTCCTCCAGTGGCTCCTCTCAAATGCAGATCACACCACTGCCACAGCCATGTCTCTGGTATCTTCCCAGCTGCTTATTCTCCCTGGGCAGCCCCAGGCCTCCCAAATACTGATGGTACCAGATATTTACTGCCAGCTGGGATCTCCTAAGCTCCAGACCTCTACAAATAACTGTAGCACTGTAGTACTGTCCTCCCATTGTTCATCAATTTGCTCAAGTGGGCCCAGTAACATCTCCACTGTGAGACTTGTTACTGTGTTTGGCATATTGAATACTTCACGGGTAGCTTGCCAGGCTTTGCCGTACGGGCGAGATACTCTCAGTAGCTTGCCGGGCTATCTGAGAGGGGCGGAGGAATCAAACTCGGGTCTGCTGCATGCAACGCAAACACTCTAACCGCTGTGCTATCACTCCAGCCCTACAAATAACTAAAACCAGAATTTCCGTATGGGTATCCAATAACCCTCCCAACTCACTACCAACTGAACGCACTGTGGTGCCTGATTCTAGTGATAACTAAGTTCTCCACCATCAGGTGCTCCTTACATCCTGAGGCATCCTGCTGCCTCATGAGTTTCCGCCAGCTCACTACCTAAGTGCAGGCTCCCCAGCATCACAGAACCCTACCTCCCACCTAGCTTGCTCCAAGACGAAAAGTACTAGTTATGCTAATGAAATCACTCTGGCGAGGGTTGTTTGCTTGTTTTTTATTTGTTGTTGTTCTTTTTTTTTTTGGGGGGGGTTGGTTTTGGGGGGTTGGTTTTGAGTTCAGGGTTTACTCCTGAGTTTGTGCTCAGTGATCACTGCTGGTATGGATCAAGGGACTATATAGGGTGCAGGGTATCAAAGCTAGGTCAGTCACATGCAGGATAAGTACCCTACTGGATGTCCTCTCTCCTCCCAGTGCCATCATTCTGAACTTCTACCATAATTTTTCAATGAATAAATTTGGTTCATGTATATTAGTCCTAGTGGCCTGGCTAATTATCATTGCCACTGGAAGATATAAACACTCGTGGTTAGCTGATCTGGTCTTAAGCATAAGTATAAATGCATGTCTCTAGAGTCACAAAATAATTCTAAGAGAGAAATATGACCTTGTGATACTTTTTCGTTAGTCATCAATTGAATTCTAGTAAAAGAACAAATTCTTATACTTTTACTTACCAACACTAGAGTTACAGTGGATTATGCTTTCATGTAATGCCCTTGGCTATCATTCTCCAAATACACTCTGACTTAATTGTGGCTCCCAGAAATGACTTTGGGCTCACCAGAGATCAAAGATTGCTACCATTTCCCTTTCTTTTTTAATTTTACAAAATTGCTCACAATATTTGATTACATTTAATATTCAAACACTAATCCCACCACCATTACACCTTCTACCACCATACTTCCATCCCGGACCCCAAACCCTGCCCCCAAAGCAGAATAGAAATAATTTTCTATTGCTTGTTATGTATAATCCATTAGTATGTGAAGGTTGATGTATTTCACACAGGAGCCATAAAGCCCTTCGGTAAGAGATTAGTAACATGTTGTTAAAGGTTGAGCCTTGTGTGCTTCTATCTATATCTCTATTAATATATTCCCCCCTAAGATCGGTTGCCTTCTACTTTAATCCACATCAAATGTGGGGGTGCTACTCTTGGTACTTCAGTGGTGTAAGGTATGAGATGTCCAGGAATAGGAACCTCATGGGTGAGGTTCGTCCGAGCATGTGGAGAACGGTGTGAACATGGCAGGGGTTGGCCACCTCCCTTTTTGAGTTCCACCCATCTCTTTACAAACTCTAATATTCATACTAAGCTGACAAATCCTCCTGAAAGTCCTTTTTCACACAGAACCTTCCAGCTTCTAGGAGGGTGTTCCAACTCCATGTTCCAAAATCTCTTCTTTAAAGTACATGTTTTAGGGACTAGAGCAATAGTACAGCAGGTAGGCATTCGCCTTGCAAAAGGCCAACCCGGGTTCGATTCCCAGCATCCCATATGGTCCCCTGAGCACCGCCAGGAGTAATTTCTAAATGCAAAGCCAGGAGTAACCCCTGTGCATTGTCGGGTGTGACCCAAAAAGCCAAAAAGAAAACAAAAGTACGTTTTAGATAAAACATCACCATTCTCACAACACAATTACTACTGTTAATTACTGTTTCTAAATTCCTCTGACTGAATGTCCCTCCCAGTTTGAACACAGCCACCACCACCCCAGCCCATCCCCACCTTTGCAGAGAGCAGTCATTTCAGTACCTGGTTATATATGGTCTGGTGCAATTTCAATCCTCTTTCGTGAAGCTGCAACTAGACAAAAAAAGTATAATTTTAGTGTTCAGGGAGGAAAATAATCAGTACTTATAATGTTTCCCTCCAACTTCCCCAACCACAACATTAACAGATTCCTTCCAGCACAATGAGCATTACATAACAAGATACCAGGTTAAAAGGCTTTTCCATGGAAGCCCTTACCAGCTCCAGCTTCCTGTCTACAGAGGTCCCAGGGCAACCCACTGTGAGGAAGGTGAAGCATGCCACAGGGGTGCAGTCCCTGCCAACTGAACACTAGGGTGAGCACTCAGCCAGCAAATGCAGGAAGAAAGCAATCGGGGTCACCGGACTCACCCAGGAGTACTGTCAGCACAGTGGCCAGAGCAGTGAGCCTCTGGCACTGCAGCCAGACAGGATTCCTTGAGAGCATCACCACTAGAGTGCATTACCACAGCAGAGCACGCACAACCTCTGCTCACTACAGTGATCAAGAACAAGAATAAAGAGGAGCCCAGCACTGAGGACTGAGGATAAATGGAGGGAAGGAGGGAGGGAAGGAGTGATGGAGGGAAGGAGGAAAGGAGGAAAGGAGAGAAGGAGGGAGGGAATGAGGCAATGAGGGGGTGAGGAAAGGGAGGAAAAGAGGGATGCAGGGAAGTAGGGAGGGAGGGAGAGAAGAATGCAGGGAAGGAGGGAAGGAAGGAGGGATACAGGAAAGGAGGGAGGGAGGAAAGGAGGGAGGAACGGAGAAAGGGAAGGAAGGGAGGAGGGAAGGAAGGAGGAAGCAGTCCAGGACTATCCCAAGCAGATACCAGATAATTAAAACATAATGGTGAGAAGCTGAGAAGAGATAGGTAACCCCGCCCTGTCTGAATGCTCACATGATTTCTGAAACAGGGAAGGCAAACTCATGTCTATTAATGAAATGCCCACTTACAACAATCCCTGCCCAACCCCAATCCCTGGACACTGGCCCCAGAGTCCTGGACAAAGGCAATGATTTGATATTCTAGTACAATGAATACACACTTTTCTACTTTTTAGAAACACATGTAAGGAACTGGAGAAATAGTACAGCAGGTAGGTAGCTTGCCCTGCATTCAGGTGACCCAGGTTCAATTCCCAGTACCCCACATGGTTCCCAGAAACTGACAGGAGTGATTCCTGAATGCAAAGCCAAAAAAGATGCTACATTAACTGCATAGAAAAAAAATTCCCCTTAAAATACCACAAAGGGTGAACAAGACTGCCCAGTGGACTGAGCACAGGCCTCAGGCAGAAGGTCCAGGGAAAAATCCAGGTGCCACTGGCCCAAAGAGCATTGCTGGGAACAACCCCAGAGCAAGAAGTAGCCCCAAGTACCTCCAGGTGTGGCCCAAAACCTGTCTGTGTAAACTCACACAAATTGGGGGCGCGCGGCACCCACACGGCGGCGGCTCTATCTCTCCCGCCACCCGCGTTCGGTAGTCTCACCCTTCTACCACCCCGGAGAGGTCGATGGCGATGGTCAGGCGGGGGAAGGAACGAGGGCCAGGCTGGTTGGTATTAGTCGTAGTTTATTCTGATTCTTTCCTCTTCTCCCCTTGTCTCTCTATCTCTCTCTCTGCTCCCATCTCTCTCTGTTTCTCCTCGTCTCTCCTGTCTCTGCTCCCATGCTACTTCATTCTCCTTCCCCATCCCCCTTCATCCTCCTCTTCCTTCTGATCCTCTCTGAACTTCTGCTTCTTCCTTCTGCCCCTCTCTGAACTCTCTTCTTCCTTCTTCTGCCCCTGTCTCACTCCTACAGTACAGTTAAATCCTCTCTCCTGAGGAATTGGGGGAACAATTACACATAGGTGTGGTCACAATCAATAGGGGTGGAGATGAACAGGGGTAGAAATCTTAGCCTCAGGGAAGACCGCTCCTAGGACGATCCTTCCTCAGCAGGAGGACCCACCCTAGAGCAGAATTCCATGGGTGTGCCTCTCCTCTCCTTGTCCGACAAGCATATAAAATATTATATAAATCATTTTGTATGGATACAGTAAGAAATATCTTAAACTTATAGAATTGCTCTCCTAGGGCCATCTCGATCTCAGACTACGGTGCTCAGGCCAGATAGTCTTTCCCACCCCTAGCAGGATCCTAGTCTTGTCGTTACCTTGGATCATGACAGCATTTGTCCATGATCAAACTCTTAACTTATAGTTAAGAATCGTGGCACTTTGGCCTGGCCCATTTCGCTGCCAGGGTAGCTCACTGCTTGCCCTGGGTCCATTCAGTCCCTCGTCGGGACCCTGCTTTGGGGTGTTAGGAACTATGGGCAACTGAGGCTTAAGTCGAGAAAGATGATGCCCGGGAGTGAATAATATTCAAGGCCAATCAAATCCTAAATTACAAAGCATAATGTTAACGGTCTTTCTGTATCTATACAAAAGGATATTACCTTAAAGTAAATTGTTCATAAGGCATAAGGAGAGGAGAAAGGCAATATTTCACTCATACATATAAAATCATAGATTTCTGGGAAACTGATCTTACAAATTAACAAAGTCTGATTAAGGGGAAAGCTGATTAACTGGGTGGGAGAGCATAGGGAAGACTGTTTACAGATAAACACAATGGAAGTGGAAGTGCTTCAGGAGCACTGAGGTGGGTGTAACCAGATAAAGCCTAAGCTTCTTGAAGGACAAAGCAATGTTACCCAACACTGTCCACGTCCCCACCAATAAAAAACAAAACCAGAAGATTAAATCAGAGAAGAAAATAGTAATAATTAGAGCATAAGTAAAAGAAATGGAAACCAAAATGACTATAAAAACCAGAAGTTGATTCTATGAAAGGATACACAAAACTGATAAGCCCTGGACTAGACTAAAAAGAGCATAAAACAAAAAGAATCAAAACCAAAAGAGGTAAAATTATAATGGATATTACAGAAATACAAAGACTTATAAGAGATCACTAAGATCAGTCATAGACCAGATCAATCATAGACCACGGTCCTCCCGTTGTTCATCGATTTGCTCGAGCGGGCCCAGTAACGTCTCCATCATGAGACTTGTAGTTACTGTGTTTGGCATATCGAATACGTCACAGGTAGCTTGCCAGGCTCTGCCATGCGGGCGAGATACTCTCTGTAGCTTGCCGGGATCTCCGAGAGGGGCGGAGGAATCGAACTCGGGTCGGCCATGTTGGCCGCTTGTAAGGCAAACGCCCTACATATATATTCATATTTAGAGTCTTACGACATTCCAAAACTGATGCAGAGATACCTTGAAAAAAGCAAACACACAGGGGCATGGTGCCGCCAGCTGGTCAATCTGTACCTGTGAGGTGAGAATATCAGCAGCCTGACGGTGCCTTCAGACTTCCAGATACCCCAAAATTGCTGCTATGCCTTTGGCCAGACCCCAAAACCTTGGGGAAAAGTTTACTAAGAAAGTAAACAGCCAAAAGTTAGGTATGCAGGAGACACACCCACAAACCACCTCCAGCTCAGCAGGGAGTGAGTCTGCCCTGCACAGGTCAACCCACATTCAATCCCGATTCCCCATATGGTGCCTAAGCACTGCCAGGAGTAATTTCTGAGTGCAGAACCAGGAAGAACCCCTGAGTATTGCCAGGTGTGACCCAAAAAGCCCCACCCCCCAAAAAAACCTTTAAGAATAAGTTAAGAGCCCAGAAATAAATTCTTCTACATATGGACATTTAATCTACAGCAGAAGAGCCAAGATCATACACTGGAGAAAGGAAAGTCTCTTCAACGAATGGTTTTGGAAGACCTGAACAGTCACAGAAGAAAAATGAAACCAGATCATTAACTACCATTTACCAAAAATTAAGTCAAAATGGGTTGAAGACTCGGCTATATGAAAAGATATACCTATAAGAAATAAACTGTGGCACATACATCAAATATGAAAGAAGACGTTGAGAGCTCTAAAGCAGCACATACTTTGCCTGCTGGAAGTCCAGGCTGCAGCCCCAGAACCACAAGGCCCCAAGTACCACCAGGAGAGCCGCCAGGCATCAACTAGTAAACTGAATTTGGGTCACTATCAGGCGCTGGATCCATAGCACAGCAGGTAGGGCATTTACCTTGCACGCGGCCAACCCGGGTTCGATTCCTCCATCCCTCTCGCAGAGCCCGGCAAGCTACCAAGAGTATCCCGCTGGCACGGCAGGGCCTGGCAGGCTCCGTGATATGCCAAAAACAGTAACAAGTCTCACAATGGTGCCCACTCAAGCAAATCAATGAACAATGAGAGGACATAGCTACAGTGTGACCCAAACACTAAAATCTAAGATAAACAAAAATGATATAGACGGATTGACCAATGACAGATGTATATTTTAAAAACGAGCTCTTGCTCTTTTGACAAAACAGATGGAACCTGAGGTGTTATGACAACAGAAATGGGTCAGAAAGTGAAAGACTAAAACCAGAGAGGTTTTTACATGTGGAATAGAAGGAATCAAAACAGGCAAACTAACAAATCTCAACAAAAAGCACTTCCCAGCGCACAGAATTCTAAATGAGCACTTGCCTTGCATGTGTGAGGCCCCAGATTCAAACTCTAGCCCTAACTCAGACTATGAATGATACTATAGCTACACCTCAAGGGAGAGCCAAAAGGGGGGATAGGAACAGGATGAAGGGGTCCTTTCTGATCCTGGAAATGGCACTAATACTAGTGGGATAAAGTTTATGCACATAGAGAGGCGTGCGGCTCTTCTCTAGAAATGTAGCTAGCTAACCCAATGGTAAGTTAGGAAGATTCTAATTCACAACAATAGATAGGGGCCAGAGCAATAGCACAGCAGAGAGGGCATTTCCCTGAGCACTGCCAAGTGTGACCCCAAAAGAGAGAGAGAGAGAGAGAGAGAGAGAGAGAGAGAAAAGGCTATGTGAAAGCAACCCAAGAAACACCAAGAAAAGCAAGCATCTATTTATGACAAAGAGAGTGGCCTAGAGTTCTAGAGGCCACAGACACCTTTCTCCTGAAGCTTTGCAGGGTGTGTGTGGGGAAGACAAAAGGTGTCACAGATGTCAGTCATTGAAGTAAATAAATGAAGCAAACAAAACTGGCTCGCCTGCTTCAGCAGTCATAGTTACCATGGCTTTTATAGCTGCTGTTCTGACGCGTGGATCTTGGTCACTGAAGTGATCCCCGATAATCTTCTGGACATCTCTGACAGCTAGGCCTTCTGTATCCTTTGTAGCACTTTTCTCCAAAGAGCCAAGATTGCCAAGTAATTGCAAGCACTTATTTCTGACTCCATGGGATGTGTCTGTCAAGTGCTATAAAGAAAATAGACAAAAGGATATGATTAAGATCTTAAATATAAGCAACAGAGCGTTAAGAATGTATCTTCCAAAGAGAATCATGAAAAGATAGTGCCCCACTATTCATCACTATTTTCCCAAAGCCATCACTTAGCCCTGACCAAGCAAACTTTTTTTTTTTTTTTTTGCTTTTTGGGTCACACCCAGCAATGCTCAGGGGTTACTCCTGGCTCATGCATTCAGGAATTACTCCTGGCGGTGCTCGGGGGACCATATGGGATGCTGGGAATCGAACCTGGATCGGCCATGTTGGCTGCGTGTAAGACAAACGCCCTACCCGCTGTGCTATTGCTCCAGCCCCGCCAAGCAAACATTTAAATACACACACACACACACACACACACACACACCTTAAATTGTGTTTTATTTACTAAAGCTAGAAATAACACAATTTCTAAATTAAAAGCGTTTTACAAATCCTTGGAGTTTGATCACAGAACTGAGTTCCAATACAGGGGAAGGGGGAGGGGAGGGAAGATAATACCGGCATTACTGCCTGTGATCCGGAGAGGGCCACAGATCAATAAGCAAGAGCCACAGCTAAGTAGACAAGACATCACCAGGCAAGGCGAAATGTAAGGGACACAGACTCAGGCAAGCGTAGGGCATCCCCATCAGGCACAGCCAGTGCAGATGACACAGGTCATAACAACAACAGTAACAAAAGGAAAGAAAGGAGAAAAGAATTGGAAAGTATAGTAGACTTGAAATTGTTTATAATACAAAGCATACATACACCGTCTTTAATTTTTAAGGAAAAAAAAAGGGGGGGCCAGAGAGATAGTACAGTAGGTAGGGCGCTTGCGCTGCACATGTCAGATCTGGGTTTGATTTCCAGAACCCCTCATGCTCCTCTAAGCCCACCAGAAATAAGCCCGAAGCATTGGTAGGTGTGGCCAAAACAACCGAGAGAAAGAGAAGAAAAAGTAAAAAAAAAGAAAAAGGAAAAGGAAAGAAAGAGGAAAAGGAAAAGGGAAAGGGAAAGAAAAGGACCAGATGGTGATTTAAAGCTAGAAAGAAAAGCAATCGATATGCTAGCGGGGAGAGAGCGATGGTAGGCACTTGCCTTGCACCCAACAAATCTGGGTTTCATCTTGGCATCCAAAATGGTCCCAAGCATTGCCAGAAGTAATTCTTAAGTTTCTTTTAGAAATAATTTCTAAGTTTCTTTTCTTTTTCTTCCTTCCTTCCTTCCTTCCTTCCTTCCCTTTCCTTTATCTTTCTCTCTCTAATTTAGAGATTCATGTAAAATAAACAAGAATGAGAACTTGTGGGGCAAGCAAAAGTGATGGCAAGAGGAAAGTTCATAGCTATGTAGACATTCATCAGGAAGAAAGAAAAGAGTCCACATAAAAAACTTGACTGCATAAATTAAGAAACTGGCAAACGATCAACAAAAGGAGTCCAGAGCAAGCAAAGAAAGGAAACAATAAAACAATTTTTAAAATGATAAAAACAAAATTTAATGAACAGGAATTTAAAAAAATCAATAAAACCAAGAGCTGGTTCTTTGGAAAGAAAATAAACAAACAAGGTGCCAAAATGACAGTACAGGAGGTAAGGCATTTGTCTCGTATGCCGTTGACACCGGTTTGATCCCTGATATCCCATATGGTCCCCAAAGCATTGCCAGAAGTAATTCCTGAGGGCAGAGTTAGGAGTAACCCAAGTGTGACCAAAATTTTAAGAAATAGAGAAAAGAAACAAGTTCGAAAAACCACTAGCAAGACTCATAAATAGAATGAGAGTAAACCCTAACAAACAATCAGAGATGCAAGAGATGTTACACCAGACACCACAGAAATTCAAAGGATCATCAGAGATTACTTTGAGATTCTTTGTCATGAAATGAGAGAACCAAGATGAAATGGATAAATTCTCGGGCTCCTATAACCTCCCAAGGCTACACCAAGATGATGTGGAATACCTGAACACAACTAACACTATCAAGGAAATCACAAAGGCAATCTAAGGTATTCAGAGAGACAAAAGCCCAGCCCAGATAGGTTAACCAGTGAGTTCCTCTGAACCATCCCCAAGGACCTATTGCTGATCCTTTTCACTCTTCCTGTAAACTGAAGAAACACAAACACTCTGAAACAGTTTCTATAAAGCAAACATTACCCTGACATCAAAAGCAGAGAAACACCTCAGGCCGATATCCCTGAGGAACACAGATGCAGAGATCCTCAATAAAAAACTAGCAAATAGAATCCAACAATTCATCAAGTATAATTTATCCCGGGAATGCAAGGATGGTTTAACACATGCAAGTCAACCAACACAATAATTCCATCAATAAAAGAAAAAATATAAATCACACAATATCATCACTTGATCACTTAATCACTTGACATCCCGTTACTCATCAATTTGCTTGAACGGGTGCCAATAACGTCTCCATTCGTCCCTGTCACGTGCTAGTGTAGCCCAATGGCATCTGCTCGCTCCAGGAACATGAAAAGCCTCAAACCGTTCATTCAAGGTCTTGACAAAGAAGTCTGACCACCTCATAGGTCTAGAGCTGCCATGTGATCTTTTGAGGTCCTGTGGAATCCAGTCGGTAACAGCTCTAGTCCAGCAGTTGTCTCCAAATCTCATTATGTGTCCAGCCCATCTGGTTTTCGATGCCTTGGCAAACGAGACAGCGTCCCTGATTCTCGATACTCGACAGAGGTCGGTTCTCTGGATTCTTTCTCTCATTTGAGTGAAGCATGATACTCCAAGCATAGATCTTTTGATTCCTCTTTGGGAGACAGAAATAGCGTTTTCATCCTGTTTTTGTAGGGCGCAGGTCTCTGAGGCGTATGTTAATGCAGGAAGAACAGTGGAGTCGAAGAGATGCCAGAGCTGGAGGCTCTTCGTCCTCTTAGCTATTTCTTCGACATTCTTGAAAGCAGTCTATGTTGCTCTCTTCCTCCTCCGCAACTCAGGTGCCAAGTCATTTGTCGTGTTGAGTTCTTGACCTAGGTACACACAACTGCTGCATTCAGAGATGTTAATTCCGCTGAGAGCAAATGTAATGTCAGGAACGAGACTGTTTCTCATAAACATTGTCTTCATGAGATCCAGCTGCAGTCCGACCTTTCTAAACTCACGGTCGAAGTCAGCCAGAATTTGTGCCACTTGGCTAATGTTTGGTGTTATTAGAACAATGTCATCAGTGAAGCAAAGGTGGTGTACTTGCCAACTGTCTAACTTCACTCCCAATCCTTCCCATTCCAGTCGTCACATGATGTTCTTGAGGGTGGAACTGAAGTTTCGGTGAAATAGCATTACCCTGCCAAATCCCTCTCTTGACGTCAATGATCACTTCCTTGTAGAATGGTGAGACACTGGTAGTGAGTCTGTAATACAGCTCACAGAGGATCCTGATGTATTGAGTTTGAACAACCTGTTTGGCTAGGGCTTCGATGACTGCTTCAGTCTCAACAGAATCAAAAGCCTTCTTTAAATCAATGAACATTAAACACAGTGGCATCTTGAACTCCCGAGACACCTCAATGAGCTTGGTTATCATGTGGATATGGTCGATTGTGCTGAATCCTTTTCGGAACCCGGCTTGCTCGCATGATTGTCCTTCATCTAGTGTTCTGCCAATCCTATACAGGATGACTAGAGTGAACAGCTTGTAGACAACGAACAACAGGCAGATCGGGTGATAGTTGCCAATGTCGTGGATACCTCCCTTCTCGTACAGTACAACGGTCCTGCTGATTTTCCATTGGGACGGAACCTTGCATTCAGACAGGTAGCCTGTGAACAGCCAAGCCAGTGTATTGATGAATACTGACAGCAGATTCTTCAGATGTTCAGATCTGACCTTGTCTGGGCTGCTGTTCGCTTCTTTGCCGACAGAATGGCGTGTCGGATTTCGGAAGAGAGAATGCTGGGAACGACATATCCATCCTGCAGAATTTGGTATGTGGGCAGGTAGCTGTGGCTATCAAAGAGATCCGAGTAGAAGTCATGGATAATCTCCACTGCCCTTCTGGAAGATGTAATAGATCCATCAGGACGACGGAGGGCAGTCATCTTAGTCTTGTAGTTGGCAAAGAACAGGCGGGTGTTGCAAATGCTTTTCCCGGTTTCTGCCGCATCAGCCAGCATTGCTGCTCTTCTCTCTTTGAGGTCTTCCTTGATCGCTTCTCTGCACAGCTTTGTGAGCTCGAATGTTAGCTTATTGTTGCCTGAGGCTCGCACCCAGCCACGTTGGCAAACGAGCTCACAAGGTTTTGAAGACAGGCACCGTTCTGTGGCTTTTTCTCTCTCGGCGTTTTTCGCACAATCACGGAAGTTCTGAACCAGTCGACCATATTCTTCATCAATGTTGTCAACGACAGCATCTTCCCATGTTGTGGAGTTCTTAGGTCAATCTTCTCGGTCCTATCTTGCCATTAAAATCACCAAAAATGATCTTGTAGAAGGTGTGGTCTTCTTTATAGAACTTTTCCAGCTCCATGTAGAACTTCTCAATTTCTTCTTCATAAGTGGATGTTGGTACACAGAGAACAAAGAATGAAATTGCCGCAGTGAGTCACATCTATTCAAGTGTAATCGTCTGATTTGGGTTCTTAGGCATTCTAATGAATCAATGCTCATGGTCAAATTCGTGTTGACAAGGACACCAACACCACAGATGCCTCTTTTGTCACATGTTCCGAAGAACAGTTCTTCTCCAGTGTCAAAAACGGCATGATGTGATTGATGCCTTCTCGTCTCAGTCAGACCAATGATGTCGTACTTGATCTTCCATTTTTGCACCATCAGGTCCTCAATGGATGCTTCTGATGCCAGCATACGTGCGTTAAAAGTACAGACAGTCTGGGCTGGAGCAATAGCACAGCGGGTAGGGCGTTTGCCTTGCATGCAGCCGACCTAGGTTCGATTCCCAGCATCCCATATGATCCCCCGAGCACTGCCAGGAGTAATTCCTCAGTGCATGAACCAGGAGT